ATCAATTAGCATTTAATTCTATTTGATATTTTTTCACGATCTTTGACTCTGAACTATGTTCTTTAATACATGACTTAATTTGCAAGCAATAATTATTATGAAAAATTCTCATTTTAATATTACAATCATCAAACTGACATGATAATACTATTCTGTTTTTGAAATCATTCATGTCTAACAAGTCAGTTGAATTACAAAAAAATCAACATGCAAATCACTTACTGTGTATTCACAAAATGGTAATTAATATTTAATGTCACACATGTATACTAAATTGCAGAAAATCGTCAGTTATTGAGCAGTCTTTTATAATCTAGATTGAAAATATGTAAATATATCCAACTTATGTGCAGACTATATAACACACACTCAAGATATCTCGTATGAGATATTCATTTTGTATTCCCCATCGAAAAAGTATTTTAATAGAAACGATTTATCATTCCTCAGGCCCAACTTATATACATATATGTCTTCTCTATCTTTCTTTTTTTTTATTATTTATTTCATTTACTAAATAAAATTCACGAGCAATTAATTTCTCTGATTCTCGTAAAACTGTAAAATTTCATTTCATTTTCTTCAAACCATAATCAGCAAACTTTCATTCCTCTATCAATTGTTTAAAGAGTAAATTATTTATTATTAATTACTTTTATTAGAGTTGAAATAAAAACAACAGAGTTAACATTTTTCGATCTGTTTAAATTTCTCAATTATCTACAATAGTTAAAGATAATTTAAAATTATTACATGAGAACTCTAATTACAAACTAAGTATTCTAATCATAACACTTACGACAGATCGCTAATTGCCGCTAGAGGCTAATTTAGACTCGACTCTCTGACACTAGTATATAGAAAAAAGTATACAAAAGATGTTCAGGAGGAATTGTTGGATTGTGGCTTGAGGGCTATTGGATACTCCCGAATCATGTTCAGCTTCACTTAAACTCGAAGAGTGAAAGAGTAAGACTAAGAAAGCAAAAGAAGGAACACAAATACAAACTAGCTAAGAGAGTAGTATAGAAGAGAGATGAGAAGAAAGAGACCAGAGAGAACCAGACCAGAACCACTATACCGTGCAACCACTATAAATCTCGGAAGTTTTAATGCCCTGCAGGCTGCAGTCCCCTCTTCGTCATCCTTTGGCCCCTTTTGCAATCTCCTGGTCTCTCTTTTCTCTCTCCTCCTTGGTTTTTCATCTTTTTCTTACACACTTATTCCCTGCCACCTCTCCACCATATTTGCATACATGCATAATAGACACCCGGACTTACCTACCCTTTTACTATTAATTTTATAAAATTATTCATCCCGTTTTTTTTTTCTTCTTTGACCTAGGCCTCCTGCTTCTGATGCGCTTCATAAAGTCGGGTAGATACCCCTCCGCTGTGACTTGGGCTTATTTAAATAACGGATTTTCAAAATCTCGTTTTATGCCAACAAAGATCAGGGGAGAGCTCAATTCATATTTTTTTTATTTTTTTCAATATTTAATCTATTGTATCCCTGATAGAATAACTCTTTCTTGAATTAAATTATTATTATTTTTTTAAAATTCCATTCAGTACCCTACAATTTTTAATCGATATATTATTCAAATAGGAGAAATTTTTTTTTAAACTGTATTTTTTTTTTTTCTGTTAATGTAAATTGAACAAAGTATCATAAAAGCTGTCCACAAATTTTTTCAGTAAATAGTGTAATTTGCATCAAATCAAAAAAGAAAATGAATACCACAGAGATTTTATTTTTTATTGCACATTGTATGCATAATAGAATTAATAATTTCATGCAGATAGCAAGAATTTTTTTAAATTATTGTAAATTACTTGGAGTAAAAAATTTCAAACAGTTCTTCAGCATCATTGCGTCTTTACTTATTGAAACATTTTAGCAAGTCTCGGAGAAGCAAACTTTTTTTTTTATAAAAATCCTGTTAAAACAACGAGTTAATTTTTCTTTATTTTTTACAACTTTCGTCCATCTCTCTTTTTTCCTTGTTTCTAGCGTAAACGCAACCGTATCCAGGTCTAAATACTTAGGAGATACGCTAAGTGGACCTAACCAGATTAGTAAGTTGTTGCGTGCTCTATTTTTGACGCCTCGTGCCACTTTAAAATGTCTTTACGGATGTATAACGTATTCATAACTAATATAATTCAAATAAAAATTCCATTTTGGATACAATTCTTTTTTTTTTTTGCCGCCAAAAAAATGAAAATTTAAAAAAAAAGTCACCATTTAAAAACAAAATATTATTCACTACTTTTCTTTACTTCAACTTCAATTCACTACCATTTTTCAACAATAATTGATAAAATTTATCAATTAAAAAAATCATCAGGTTTATTATGTCATCCTTTGTGGTGTCCATTAACGAAATCTAAGAAATGGTTTAATCATTTTTTATCACGAAAATGTCAATCGACACTTTTCGAGATTATGTTCATTCAATAAACTTAAAAAAATCATTCAATCCAAGATTAAATAATTGACAATAAAAGTAAATAAATCTCATAATATTTGTAAATTTCACATGAAAATATTAACAAACATAAAATAAATAATTTATCGTTATTACAGACGAACTTATTAAAACAGTCAAGATTCTGAAACCCATAAAGAGCAATTTAATCTATGTTATGAGCTATTTTACTTTCTAAAAACAATGGGAAGTTAAAACCTGTTTGCATACAAAATAACGATCAGGGTGATTGTGTGACATGTGAATAATTTCTACGAAAAAATTGTATATTATAAATAAAGGCTGAATTTAAAAACGTTCAATTCTTGGTCTTTCTTATCGTTGAATTTAGTCTTACTTGCATGCTGAGTTATATACCGAGTCATCATCACCACTATTGCATATTCTGGTGGTGTGGTGCTTAAAATTACGAATATTATGACTTCAACCTGTTCTAAGAATTCAATGTTTTCCATTTTTTAATCTCAACTTCTCGTGTTTCACACCATATCTTATAAGTGCATTTTTTTTTATTCCATTCTTTAATTTCGAAATTTTTTCCTCTTTTTTTTGCATAGATTATAATTATAAAATCAAATCTGTTAAAACATTCGCAAATATCAAAAGATAAGAAAGTGCTACTCTCCAGTTTAAAAATATTTCTTTAAACTTTAGTAAAATCATACAAATCATATGATGAAACTTCAATATGTAATGCTGCATATCACTTTTAATCATTATTGTTATTAGAGTAAAAAATTGATTAGGGAAATCAATTTCACAATAAAACATTTTTTTGCTCAAATGTGTTTCAATGAAAAAAAAAATGAAAGTAAAAGAGTTATTCTCTTTCTTATTGTGACAGAAAAGCGACAGAGAATTTAGTCTACTTTTAATCGACCATACAGAAGGGATAATTAACATCTGTTACAATACCTACAAACGTTTTTGGGCTGCCTTGTTCTACCTCCCACCACTGACCTCACACGGGGCGGACCTTGAATATATTACCTCTTCGATACATATATGTATATATATATAAATAAAATCTTCAATCTGAATCACTAATAAAAAAAAATTATAAATAACATAAATCTAAATAATCTAGATCTGGGAATTTTTTAGTGACTTTAAATAATTTTTTAATCAAACATTAAATAAATTTTTTTCAATACAAATTAAATTACTTTAATAAGAAAAAAAAATTGAAATTGATTTGACAGTTTATTTGCTAGAAACTTTTAATAAATAGTCAAAGTAAAATTACTCCGGCTTAGAAACAATATTATAAAAGCAATAAAAGTTGTTCTAGTATCGATAAAAAATAAACGAATAGATTGAAAAAATAAATATTCTTATACATACAACAAAATAATCCACTGACAATCAGCCACTTCATAATCCTTAGTATAGCTGTTGGCAAAGTTGTAGCAGGGCGTCGCCTGTGGCCGTAGGTGCTATAACAGATGTTAATTATCCCTTCAGTATAGTCCAAGAAGAGAGTATAAGGAAAAAAAAGGAGTTGAGAATAAAACAAGTAAATGAGTATGAGTTTGTGAATTAATAAGTTGAAATGAATCAAAAGCTGAATAAAATATTATTACATCTAGCAGTTGGATCATGAAAAATGCCAATTGTGTATTAAAATAGAAAAGTTTACACAATTAATTATAGAGTAATTATAAGTTGTGTATATCCACGTATATATTTCACATGAGATGAACTGAATTACTTGGAATATTTTACGCATCAACTTTTAACTCAAGAGAATAATTTAAACCTAGTCGTTAAGGAGAATAAGTGGGGACAGCATTCCAATAACTTAGAAAACGAATTGTCAAGTATTATCGCGAGCCTATATATCAAATCTTTTGTTACCTCGAGCAATATACACTCTTTTATTTTCTTGTTTTCTTCATCACTCTTTCATACTACTACCAATACAGGCAATTATTGAAACAATTTTACTCTTGTTGGACTCTGAATTATTTCTACCAAAGTTTATCCTTTATTTTTGTTTTGTAACTCATTATTCTTCATTTTTTTCGTTCTCTTCATTTACCATTTTTTCAGTCAGATTAATACTACAATCATTTTTCATATTTTATAAAAAATTTTTTTCAAATCTAAAACGATAATTAGTTTTTTAAATTAATAGTCAAGAAAAAAATGCAATTAGAATTGTGAGTACATGAATATTACTTGAGACACTTTTCTTGATGTGAAATTAGAATAAAATATACATATATGAATGATTTCTTGGCACACCTAAGGTTTCATTTGTATTAGGTTAGCTTTTATTTCATTGTTCTGATAAATCAGTTTGATGATGTCACGTTAATGGACTTGATTTATAAAAGAATATATTTCAGTCTGTATTTATTTAATATTACATTTTCATTAAAATATGTTGGAATATATTTTCTTTTTCTTTCATGCGTTTTTATTTAAAATTCAATTTTAAAGTTGGCCAATTTGTATGATGGTTTATCATCTGGTGTTTAATGTATTTTTATCTTGAATGTTTCAGGATGCGCTGAAGAAAGAAAACGATTCAGTCGAAATGTCAGCCGTGACGAGTCCCTATGGCCCCAGTAGGTTTCTTTTTATTTTTATTATACATATGAGATATGCGAAAAAGTAAATAAAAACATATGAATATAAAAATATATAAATTGAAAAATTCTTAAATTTACATAATTTTTCATTTAATAATATGAAACATTATCACATCATCTATCATTAAATGATGAATATAATTTTATAAAACAGCGGAGATGCTCTCCGACTCGATGTACAACTTTGCAACGTCCCGTCGGGGTGGTTCGACTGCGGACCAAGACTCTGGAGATTCGCAATTTGATGGTCAAAGTCAATTGCACCAGTTATCAAGCGTACAGAAGCCTCGGAACAAGCGGAAAAATTTCAAACCTATCAGTAGTCGAATGGCAGAAGTATCAGACGACGAGTCTGATCATGAAGACTTTGAAGACAGTTCAGAAATAGTTGAAGAAAATTCTAATGACGTTTTGGAGTATGATAGAAAAACTCTGTTAGCATTAAATGATGATAGACCTAAACAGAGACTTAACAATAATGAAGCTAGTCCAATGGACCTATCAGTCGCAACAAGGCCACCTTCATCTGATGAAGATGATGATGAAAGTAACGATTCAATAAGGCATAAGTGTATTTTGGAGCAATTAAGATCACATAAGTTTTATTCACCAGGTGTTGAGGTTTGTTTAATTATTGTACTCTATTTTAATGATTTTGATCATTTAATTATTGATAAAAAATAATTTTAATTGCTACTTGTAAGGATTATTCGTGTAAATGCTAATGTTTATTGTGAACTAGGTACGAAGTCCAATGTCGGAATCTTCCGACAAGAGTGAATGTGCATTAGAAGCGGAGTCATCAAGTCGATTGGACGACCAAGACGGTGAAGCTTTTGATGATGACCCAGTCCAAGATTTAGAGCCTGAAGTTGAACGGAAGCCGTTTGAAGGAATGAGAGAGTATGCGGAATCAGCAATGCAGGAATTGCTGGCGATTTATGGCTTAGCAGGTGGAGAACTTGCTAAAACTGTCAGTAGACAACTGCCACCCACGTTCTTGAACCCACAGACTGGATTGCAGATTCAGGTGCATAGGAATAATAATCAAAGTCAAAGCCAGCCCGCGAGGCAAAGTCCATCTAATCAGACTCAGGGTAAGTAAGTAAAGAATGACTCTTTACAACTTTATTCATTGTTTTGTTTCATCAAAGTGCACCAATGTCGTTAAGTTGAGTACGTCAAGTAAAAAGTTCGTCTTATCTACTTTCGTTGTATTAAATACATAGCTATCATGAATTATATGATTTTAAGTAATGGAATTTTTTTTATAATTCTTCAATTAATATTGATTATTTATAATGAATTGAAAGACTTGACGATGAACAATTATGTAAGGATTAAAGAAAATTTGTAGAACAATTGTGATCGTAGTTTTTAATTGTCGTTATAGAAGATGATTCATATCAATTGATGACATAAATATGACATGAAATGTGCATATGGAGCAATTTTGTTTGTAACATTATCATGATAGTTTTTAGAATCGACTGTACACACCGGGTTGAACAGAATGTAGCATAGCACATACATATTACCGGTGCCTCTCATATGTGCGCACGTGAATATGTGATGGGAAGGCAAGATGGCCGACTTATAACTCATAAAGTTGGAGCCCGGGTTACTTATGTGTATTGTTACTGTTGCTGTATATATAAAAATACATATAAATCATTCATTCATACAAATATGCTGGCAATCGATGGATAAAATCACACGATCCTCATTACAATTTGCCTTCAATCATCGCTGACTAATTTTTTTTTTTGCTTCATTCTATTTATTATTATTATTTTTTTTATTCGACTAGTTGATCATTGGTATGTGATCAAAATTACTGCTTTTTAAAGTTTAATAAAATTTAATTTTTACGTAGTTAAAAAAATTAATTGAAATAAAATGCTAGCAATGACTTTTGGAAGGAAAATTAGTGTTAAATAATTTTACAATATCAGTTCAAAAATGGCACTTGAATAAAAGTCCGAGGAATGTATGTGTATGTATTACACCAAAACTAAAGAAGACGAGTAAACGAGAAAATTGTCAGTTTGTGGCTTTTGGACTCATTAATCATTTAGATGGGATAAAAGAAAGAGAAATGAGTAGAAGAGAGATGGTCAGACAGTCTCAAACTATAAGCAAATCTCAAGCTATATTTCATCTTTTTCTATTTTATTTAAGTTAAAAGCCACTTTTTTCTCTTTTTCCTTCTCTCTTTCATCAGAATATTTCTCAATTCTCAGATCATTTTTTTCATTCTTTTATTCTTTCAAATTTCATTCATTGTCAATCTCAATTGTATTGATAGTGATAAATACTTTTTTCTTCAACTTATTTTTTTACTAATAAAAAAATATTTTATAAACTCAAATTTTAATTGATAAAGTGAATTAAATTGGAGATTAAAAGAAAAAAAAAACAAAATGATAAAATGATTATTTCAGTATGAAAGAACAGCAAGCGAGGAAGAAAGAGGAAGAAGAAAAAGTAAAACCTGGATCACTTTACATTCTCACTGTTGTGCTGCTGTTAATATATATTATACTTGAACTACAAAATCAGAGACTAAGACAATAAGATTTCAAAGAATACAATAGGACTATGTAAATTTTCTGAGAATGACAATTTGACGAACTACCACCTGTTGATGGTGAGCTGTAGAATTAATGTTGGAAAAGCTTGAAATCCCTCCTTTCTTTTGCCCTTCTTCGCTCTCTCCCTCCCACGCATTCCCTTTTGAATTGAACAACCTGTTGATCTTCATCTGAAGCTATTCTTCCTAAAGTGGTTTTTTCTGATTGATGTTTTATAAAATGACTTTTTCAATGAAAAATGAAACCATTAAATTATTCAGATGCTTAAAAATAATTGTTAAGAGGTACATTCTCACCATTGGTATTTGTAAATAAAAAAAGAATCTCTTGAAAAGTGGAAAGGAACTGAATGATAAATACTCAGATAATAATAAATGAATATTATTATTCATTCATTTTCTTTTATTCCCATATCAAAAGTAATTTGTAGAAGTTGGACAAGTTTCATATTAAATGTTGAAATATTTGAGTAACTAATGGAATTGAATTATTTTGTGAGATAGGCGGAATCTAAGCTTATGCTGCAGACTTTTGTAAAACATATTCAAGTACTTGGAATAATAAGAGCCAGTTTTATCGTTGAGTCTTTTTGCAAAACCGGATTAACAGAGAGATAGAATGTCTAGTCCATTAGACATCCGATAGGAGTTTTTGTTCTTTCAGGTCAATTAGTATTAATGTTTTTTTTTGTGACAACCACTTAATATTTCTGGAGCTAATTCAATTGTGTGCGAATTCAAGTTTTTGCGAGATTGTACTGATTTCTAAATCAGTGTTGGATTAGCAGTAAATAGAGCATACTAAGATAATCATTAGCATCAGTGATAACAATAAAATAATAATAATGACATGATTGTAAGTAAGATCCTATTTCCTTCTCTTCTTACTTTTTTTCTTCCTCTTACTTGTCTTCTTCTGTTCTCTTTTACTTCGCTGTCTCTTCATTGCCTCCTTTTTTTCCATACTCACGAAGAGCGTCTACTCCAGGGTATCTTGTTTATTTTGCCCGTCAACGCGCTGACACTCGGACATTCGTTTAAATTTAGAATTCAATGGGATCCTTTTAACTGGGACGTTTTCGTGCGCCCAATGGATTCTCTCGACTCTGAAGATTATTTATTTAATTTTCAACTTCTACAAACCAATCCTCAATGTTTTGCATATATTTTTATATATGTACTCGAAAAATTATTATGTTTATTCAATTCAACCCAAGATTATTTATTTTACATTTAATTATTGTTTTTTTGAATTATGAAAATATTTGCAAAACAACTTTTTCATTTCATGTTATTATTATTTTTTTTCTATCAATCTATGTCTAATCACCGTTATTTATAATTACATTTTAATGATTTCTTTTCTTTCGAATATGAGAAAATATCACTCAATCATTGCCGTCTACTTTTAATTTATTTAAAGAATTTCAGTTGCTCAAGCACGATGATTGTGGGATAAATTAACGGAAGAAATGTTCAGAAATAGTTAACAAATAATTTAAATTTCAAAAAAGTAATGCATCATCATAAAGTTCAATAAACTACTAATACATTTTGTCGAAAATTTTTTTTTCTTCAACTCTTGTAGATTAGAAGGTAAAATATTAGATGACGATGATGATGCTGGTGATGGAAGATCGATTAATTTTTCAAATTACCTTGAGAAATGAGAAAAAATTATTTGGTTTTGTATATGGGTGTTTTTATATAAGGTAAAACAGATACAGGAGAGAACCATTAGGTCCACACGAGGCCTCGAGAGCACCTCCGGGGCCTTGTCAGTCTTTACTCAAGCTCCTCCGAAAACCAGAAAGTCAGCTTGTCAAATTAATCACGGATGACCAATCCATCAGTAAGAATTTCTGACTGCGGTGGGGATTGCTATATGCTTTACTGTTGTATTCATTGATTTCTCTTTATTTTTTATTTTTTTTTTGTATAAATTATATTCATCATCAATGATTTTCAGTTCGTTATCAATTAGATAAAATATCCTGATAATTTCATCTTTCATCTCATACAAAAGCGTATAATTTAAAAAATTTGACTTTTAAAAATCTCCCTAAAATTGACAATAAGATCAAATGATTAAAAAAAATGATATTTTTTGCTTTTCATATTTCTTTGAAGCTTTTTCAAGTGGAGACTTTAATAGTTATTAATACGAAATTTCCCGTGAGCGATGAGTCACTAGAATAATAATAAAAAATTAAAAAAAAAGAACAGACAAAAATGAAGAAGATAAAAAAGGAATAAGAACAGAGCATATTAAGAATGAAATGTCGAATGTATAAATCTGTACATACACTCAAAAGATATAATACTAAATCCTCTATATACTGTCCCTCATAGTTTTATTTCTTCAATACGGATAATGATGACAAGAAGTGAGAAATATAGAAATACATGGATACAGAATGAACATGATTCAAAGAAACCAGTTTGGTTATACAGGCTACCACAAATCTTTAATGAACTCAGACTAGTTTCTCATATGAATTTTACACGCCTCGGATTAATTGATTATGGAAAACTCAAGAAATTCAGGCTTTACAAAATTGAATCAGACATAGACACGAATAGATTGGAGCAATAAATAAACAAATTCTTTTAAATGAAATCACACTTTCTTTATGATGTATTCAAAATCAAATAAATTTTCATTAAAAACAAACAAATATTACATGACCACCAAAGAAAAAAAAATGATTAAAAAAATCCACGAATATAAATTTCATAAACACTCAAGTGATAGCAGCATGTATGAAGTTTTTTTTTTTTTTTGGAATGGTATTTAATATACATAATGAAATTTGATTTTACACCACCCACATCACAGTAATTTTTCTTTTAAAGAAAAAATAATGAATCTACAAAAGAGAAAGATCAAGTTCGACGTGCTCGAGACACGGGCGTGACGAGTATATGTTCTCCTGACTATCAGTACTCATGATCGTGCGGGCAGGATATGGTAAAGGCATTAAAGGAGATCCCTCTCAGCGTATAACACAGCCACAGTATTAAAGAGAGGCTAATTTTAATATTCAAATTCCACAAGGCTTAAGAGTCTGAATGGAGAATAAGAAGACTCTTGGCGGTCCGTGAAGAGTTCCAGGGCTGGGGAAAGAATCGGGGGAAAAAGGGTATACTATACCAGACGCGCGTATAACCGATTCACGAACTCATAAATTTTAAATTATAGTGAGCAAAAAAGTCCAAATAAAATAACCTAAGATAAAATTAGTATATGTGTATATGTATGTATCTCTATACTAGTGTCATTTCACAATACAATTATCGTTTAAGTGTACTTGTTGTGAGATTGAAAGATTTATTTTACATTATTATAATGAATGGGAATTATATTTGATTAACTTTATGTTCAAAAAATTTTGGAATCTTCGTTCTGGAAAAAAGCATTAATGTCTTTATGTCTGCTGGTCATTTCAACTGAGATAAGACTTTTTTTTTTTAGAATAAAAATAAAATCGTCAATCAAATTATTCTACAAATTAATGTAAATTAAAAAATTAAATGATTAATTAAACGTAATCACTATTATTTTATTTTTTTATCAAGGAATTTTTATTTAGTAAATAATGAATTTGGCAAAACTACATTTTTGGAGATAAAAAAAATGATAAGTAGCTCGAAGTGATTTTACATACTCAAAATTTATACCCCATATGAATTTGATAGTTTCCCATTTTTCTACTTTATTCATAAATTAAACGAAATTTAAACTCTGCTCCTATATTTAATGTAGCATGGGTCGAATTTCTGGAATTAATTCGACATTATGCAATATTCAAATAGACCCCCCGGAATATTTCGTCTAACGAGCAGTGTCTGAGAACATTTCACCCTTTATTTACGGGGAGAAAAAGGACAAATAAAAAATAAAAAGTTGAATTAAAAATAAAAGCTTTAACCAAATGAATCGAATGTTAAAATAAAAAAATTAATATTGTATATGTAAACTCACAGGATCATTATCATAAATTGAAGGACTGTGATTTTTTAATGCTTTCTCTAGATTAGTGAAATCCAAAAGAATCTTCACTTTTTAGTGTATAATAAAACCTTTCGCTATAATTCTTTTTGGCACTATTTTACTTTTGAAATTTTCAGGTAAAGATACTAAGCGGTATATTACATAACATACATATGATCGGTCAAAGTACCATGAGAATGTGTCAAAAATTTTATGTTACCTGCGTCAGCCCTTCTTTTTTATTTGTTTTTCCATTCAGAATAAAAAGGGAAAAAATTTCTAAAAAAGCATTCAGTTAAATTATAGGATAACATTCTATCGCTTGAGATTTTTTTCCCTGACAATATGACTTTAAGAGTTCCAATAAAAAAATTATTCAGCTTTCGTGAAAATTTATTTTTCCATTAAAATATCAACGAATTTGACGTGAAGAAAAATAATAAAAAAAAATGAATTACCCATCATTTAAAAATACTTCAATAATTTTTTTTAAAATTATTTCAGCTATCGGGTGTTTTTTTTATTTATTCTCAAAATCAATCATTGGTCCTTTATAAATCGATAAAATCTTCAGAACAACTGTGTTGCTCCGAATTCCTCTACCACATGTTCTTAATGATTATTTTTACATGCCAAAAAAAAAAAAAAAATCAATACTTTTTTATTCCGGTTAATATGTTAGTGAAATTTATGAAGAAAATTAGAGAGAACAAAAAAAGAAGATAGATATCGTGTAAATTTCAAGTAAAAAAGATACTGTATGGAGAAGAATATTTTTCGTGTCCTGAAAGATTGTGTACGATCCTTTTTCAAAGTCTTACGAGACTAAGAAACTAATATAAAAGAGTGTAATGTAACATATATAGATGCATTTCTTCGCATACACAGCGGGAAGTCTATGTTTCTCGCGTTTCAAGTATTTCTTAGGACCTCCGATCGTTATTCGAGAGCTTCACTCGTACTTTGCATTTCTTTTTTATCTATTTTCTCGTCGTTTTCAAGATTAACAATAATAATAAGGAAAAAACAAAAATCAATCATTGGATAATTTTTTTATTGCGAAAAATATTCTCTAGTTACCAATAAATTATTTTTGTTTACTTCCATTTAAATTGGAGTAACGAATCAAAAAGAAAAACTGTCAATGAAATAAATATTGCTTGGATAAAAAACTCAATTTGTCATGGATTATTAAGTATTTGTTAAATTTTTATCGCTCATTTGGTAGAATTTTTACTGATTTTATGACAGTAAAAATGTAAAAGTAGGGTAAGGTCAATGAAACTCAACCCCAACTTTTGATTTCTGTATAATATGTACTCTTACGAGATACTTAAACCTTTAAACGGGTCACACGGGTGTGCCAGACGTCTGTCTGGGGTCAGATTTCAAATTTGCAGGGAAATCGGTTAACCCCGTGATGTTGAACCGATTTTTCTCAAGGATTAAATCGAGCATAAGTCTTATATACTTTTTTGTAAAATTTTTTTTCCTTTTCGCTATTTCTCTTCTTACGTGAATACCCTCCCTTTAACTGGTGCGTATTCGCAGGTAGAAGATATTATTGTTCGACAATGATTCTACGTGCACGCGTTGTATCTCTATATATGAAGAAATGAATGAAAAGAAAAAAAAAACCTCTCGAGTTGAAGAATAAAAAAAGGGAAAACCAACAGCAAAATGGAAACTAGAAAGAGAGAAAGAGAGTCGAGAGAGAATTGCGAAAAAAATGAAGGATTATAAAAAGTGTAAAAGAAGGTCTGGATTTTTTTATGTCAGAGAATCAAATTGGGGTAAAAGTGAGTTAATAGTCGGTAAAACGGCATTCATTCTTTCTAACCTTGAGGGTTGCATTTTTTTTTCATTCTCATAGATTCTAGCGTTAAAAAGATTGAGGGGTCGTTCTAGGGACAACAATTTACTTCTTAAAATACGGAATTTAAGCAATAGACTTGGTGACAAGAGAAGAGATATATTAAATAGCACATATTAGTAATATAGAGAAAAAAACTGGATAAAAATAGACAAAGTTAAGAGGTCTCATATCTTTATAACTGCAGGGTATTAGTAGATCTGAAAAAAAATTTCTATCAAAAAAATCTAAAGAGAAATTTCTAATTTATTACTACCACACTTTATTAGAAAGTAATCATTTCTTCGAGTGAAATAGAATTTTCATTTAATCAGTAAAATTGAAAACAAAATAAATACTTTGAAAATTATAATATAATTGAAATTTATTGATAGATTTGAATAAGAAATAAAAATATAAATGTCATCATGCAATCTACGTCTTTAATGATAAGTCGATTTTACTCGCTCAATATTGTTTGTAGATTTGTATTCGTTCATAAAAATAAGTCAAACCAACCGACGATATCTCTGAGCGATTAAAGAATAATAGTGATTTATAAAGTCGACAATTTTCCTCTTTTATTTTAAGAAAGAATGAAAGAAAATTGAAAATATATTAATGATAAATTATGTAAAATGTCTTGTTTTAAAATAATATTGATATATTTTATTTTTCAGGAAAAGTCAAAGTTGAAGAAGACAAAGAAGCATCATCAACAGCACCAGGAAGTCCACCAACCCCACCTCATACTCCCCAAAGTCCATCTAGACAAATTCCGTCCGGACATTTATCCCAATCAAGTCAAACAGCCAACTCAACATCTCCAAGTTTACCAGCACACTTTCAAACATTGGCAAACTCACCACTAAGTCAAATACTTTCCCAAAATCCAGCATTAGCTCAACTCTTCCAACAAAACCCATCTTTACTGGCACAGAATCCTCAATTAACACAATTACTTCAACAAAATCTTCAAGCTCACATAGGGAACATATTTTCTCAAAATAACAAGAAAGATGAATCAGAAGAGGTGAGCAAATAGACCAACAACTGGTCTGGTTAATTTTCTTTAAAAATCTTATTTATGTGTAATAATTAATCGGGTCGTTGAACTATAAGTGATAATAAAAAGGAAAATAATGTATTCAATGACATAGCTGTATATGCAAGAAGATGATGCTTCCTCATCTGTTGAATGCGGGTCCCTTTCATTATCAATTATCAGAATTGAAATTCTTGTTATTCATGACTTCCATTCGCCACTTTATTCCCCTTTGGAAAGGCTTTTGTCCGTCTGTTGGACCGGAGCTTGCCGATCAACTTTAATTGTCAATCAGGATTGCTTTACGCATCATTTAAAGACTCATTAAATATAAAAAAAAAATTTTTTCGCAACATTTTTGTAATCTTCCATAAACAGCATATCATTATAACATTCATCCTACTTATTTTAACAAGAAAAATCAGGGCAAGATGGCCATCAAAGACGTTTCATTAGTTAGCTTTTCTGTTTTTGCTTTTCGTTGTGTTTATTATAATAATTCTGAATTTTGATACATGCAACACTTATTGCATATATTTATATGTATATTTCTTCACTACTCGCATCTTGTTCTGGTTCGCGAGTGGGCGACACACAACCTGATGTAGTGACCAATGAAAAATATTTTTATGAGAATTAAAATCTGTTATTAAATGTTATGATTCAAGTTATGGTTCTACGTACATATGTCGGTATACGAGCTATATAATTGTGCATGCGTAAGAGTGTGAGAAGAAAAAAATGACGACGAAGATGAAAAGAAAATGAAACAAATCGATGAAAGAACTTGGTACGAAGACGAGACGATCGACTCATGATGTGTTGCTTCAGGCGTTTTGTTCGTTAAGGTTAACTGCTGGCCGTTAAAATTTCATTCGCTATGAACGATTAACGATGAAACAATAGATTGTTCGAGGAAAGTCATCTGAAGAATTGAAATCGTCAGCATCTGATATATCATCAATATTAATAATTTTTACTTTACGTAAGAGACCAGCAATTGTTTCACTGAATATTTCTAGACTTGGAGATCTTTTTTGTATTGTTATCGAGCTTTATTTAAATATTTAACTTTATATCAAAACATGAAAGAGAGAGAAAGAGAGAGAGAAAAAAAAACAAATACCAGGCAATGTTTGTCAATAAAATTTTAAAATTCAAGTAACATGAAAAATAAAAGTTTTCACGTGTATATACATAAAAAGATGTATTGCCAATGTGCGGAGAATCCTTTCGTGTAGAGTAGTGAAAAGAAGAATTGAAATTATTCCTCCGATTTTTGTCGTGTCGTTTACATTATTTTCGCCTTTGAATATTAATGGGCATATGCTCTGTGCTCTGCTAGCGTTATGGCAAGAAGTAACAGCGACGTATAATACTCGACTCTTAACGTTATTCTATTGTTTGCAAATCAGCTCTATTGTTTTCTCATATACCTACGTCGAGTACCACCGTGCCCCGCAGAGTCTCTCCGTACTGCTGCTGGCGCCCCTTTACCCTACAACTGATTCCACTTTATCATTTTTCTTCTTTGCGTTGCGTCTTTGCTAGCCTCCTGCCACTCTTTCTTATCTTTCTTCTAATTTTTCTCTTTTCGTATTCTTGGATGATATTTATTTCCTTTTTTTTTCTAGGACAATGATTATTTGTGATCAAATACGAGTTTATAACATAGTTATCATGTTGAGCGATGGATGTGATAAAATTGATCTGCATAAAAGATAGCAAATGTCTAACATTTACATTATATATTGCCTAAAGATTTTTTATTTCTGTTATTTATGAACTGTTGGGCTTCGGATAAAATTTATTGTGGCTTTAAATATAGCAATTTTATTGCAAAGTGATCAATTAGAACAATTATTTCAAACTTTAAATATAAAGATAGCAAAGCAGTAGAATATTTTTATATTTATTGACAAGTAATTGAGTTTAATAAGAAAATTTTGAATTTTTTTTTTTTTGCATAAAATTGAATATAAAAAAATAGAAGTTATTTTATGATAAGAAATTTTATTTAATGAAAAAATCAATATTTTTGCCATGGAATAAATTTTTTAAATTTGTTAAAAATTTGATAAAATTGTTTCCAGTAAGATCCTTAATATGTCAAAAGATTGCATAAAAAAAATAATAAATACACAATCATTCTTATAATACATTTTAATATGGCTTCGGAAATCGTATATTTGTACAATGTAAATTGCATTCACTAGGTTTCTATCAAACTTAAATGCAAAAAAATTTAATTTATCAAAAAAAAAGAAACTTGAGTTTATTGCAAAAAACATGATTTTTTTGAATTCCTGAAAATGTATTAAATCGGTTCATCAACCTTTGGTTAATATATTTGTAACCATGACAATTAGCGTATAATCGAAATTCTAATTAATTTGAGAGCTCATACTTGCGTTCTTTCTCACTCTCAACATATCGTGTATTATTCTGATTTGCTTAAGTATGGAAAGAGAGAAGAGAAAATTCAAAGCTATAGCCGGAAGCTCGTTTAAATATTCGATGTCATTGCACGCTCTAAAGCAAGGTCACTGATCCTCAACACAACAGAAGTGTTTGTCGTTTAAAATCTTTAATATCCAACTTAATTCTGGCAGTTTCTCGAAAACCGGAAATCACATTCTATCTATTGAATTGATAATTAGTTTCTATTTCGATATCATTTAATAATATGCTAAATGTAAATATTGCTTTACGAGTTGTTTTCTTCTTAAATAGTTTTATTCAATTTATTTTTTAGGTCCCATCAACGATCGCCAGCTTAGCAGCGATGAAAGTGGAAGGATCTGATTCTAAAGTTTCCGGTAAGTTGAATATATTAAATTTTTTTTACTATTTCAATTTATCTTTCATCACACATTATTAAATCTCTAAAAAAGAAAAAAAAATTAAAAAAATAAGGAAGAGTATTTAGGTAAATTATAATAAGCTTTTTATAAAAAAAGGGAACTTCCCCTTTTAATAGAAATATCCGCTTACTACATCATTTCATAGGATAGGAAAGAATCATTAAGGAAATTTAGCAACGAAAAAATAAACGTAATGGCCAAAGGCTTCTATATAAATAGATTCCCACATCAAATCAATTTCCTTCCTACCCACAAAGCATCAAAAAAATTTCAATTCACATATAATTAAAATGTGCAATTGAATACAAATTGATTTATTAATGTCATTCTCACCACGGATTTTAACCAGACAATTTTTCAATGATTGTGACTCTGTTAACTATAAGAGAGCAGAAAGAAAAAGAAGAAGAAGAAAAAGAAGAAGTGAAAGAACAGAGAGCATTAAAAGAGTATAAGGGAATATATTTATAATATAAAATAATATGAAGAATAATAATACAATAAGAGGGAAGGAGAGTTTTGAATAATAAAAAAAGCAGTAGAGGTAAAATAAGTGTAGAGCATAAGAGTGAGATAGTTTGAGAGACCAGCAGCAATCAAAGTTGATTAAGCCCACAACTGGGGAATCTGTGGGACCAGTGTCTCACGCCAATCTCGCCCAATCAGCCCCGGTTGGCCGGGGAGATTTAAAAAATAGAATGCCTACTGTCAATTGTCCCATAATTTAAATAAATCGAATAAATGGACAAAGTGGCCAATTAGAGTAGTTGCTAGTTGCTGCTTTAACGTATTATTCTCTTTCTCGCAAGCTCTCTTTCTCTTTCTTTTTCTTAACTTATTCTTTCATGGATTCTTTCTCTTTTCTTATTGTAAACTTCTCTTTCGATAGGTTAAGTGTCTTTTCATGTTAATTCATCACCCCTTATAATCACTGTCACAACCTATTCACCAGTAAAATGACATTTTCGTTGTTGTGTGCAATATTCACTTTTATCTTGGCTCTTTAGTGCAATTCGATTTTGCAATTGGTTTACTTCAAATGAGTTTTTATATTAATACCAATCAAAATGACTTTCTTAACTTGAGTTGAGAGACAACATCGGTTTAAGATGATCTCAATGATGAAATAATGAGAAAGGGGGACAGAATTAATGGTTACGTGATAAACTTTATGCTTGCAAGCTTGCCAGGTCATTCTCGCGCCAAGAAACAACTTAATATAGGTATAGATAATTTATAATAGGCTAGGTATTTAACGGATAAACTATGTACTCTTTATATTTATTACATATTAACTCTTTCAATTCATTCATTAGAAGGATAATAATTGCAATCAATTATTTTATTACAATCATTGAAGATAAAAGAAAAATTTATAAATCACTATCCTGAGAGAAATTTCTCTGTAATAAAAATGACTGTAGAGTTTTGTTCCCAGGATATATCAGTCTGTTAGGATTAATTATCAAGCAAAAAGTGCATTTTTAACCTTAATTTAATGAAATTTGTTTCGAGGATTGAGAAAGTTTTTTTCCTTTGAATGTAGCAAAAATGGAATTTTATTAATATCTTTTTTAAAATATTTCTATCAAAGTATTTACTAATCAGATGATGATAAATTTACAAACACAAAGTCCTTGTGATGCGTCGTTGGACACAAAAAAAAAGATTTAAAATTCTGCAAGAACAAAAAATAGACTGTTGACTATTATGAATGTGAGTTTAAAGTGTTATTTTGTGTATAAAATTTTTTAAGAAAAATTTAAGTCAATTGGAGTAGTGTGTTATATGTGAAACGTTAGAGTCGACATTCTTTAGTTAGGGGGTTGAAAGGTTCCCGGTCGGCATATAGGGTAGGGGGGTAAGTCGTCGTATATAAACTAAAAGAGAACTCATGGTGTTCCTTAATACGGCCGTTAGTCGAGTGGCCATTGGCTCTGAGCCGATTCAAGAATGGCCGAAATTAATAAAAAGTTGAAGAACGATAAATTAGGCTGCCGGCGCGCGAGAAAGAGGCCCACAAACGAACTACATATCGTTTTGATTCAAAATAAGCCGACTATGGTTCTCAGGAGGGCGATAATAAATTTCAAATATAAAATTTCTAATCAGTTCTTTTGGGCTTCCAAGAGTTTTTTATGCATTTTTTTGCCAGAGTTCCATTGTGTCTGGGATTGCCAAAAATCCCATCATTTCGATAAACATCTCATCTTACTATATAGAAATATTTCATTTCTTTGAAATACTTTTATGTTTCTACTCTATTTTCTATTTGTTTTTATCAGATTACGGTCTATAAAAATAATGAATACTGCATTTTGAATTTATTTAGCGAAAAAAATTTTACAACTTATCATTAAGTCATTTTCAAATCACGTTTAATGTTACTTGAGTAGACTAAAAGTGTTAAAAAAATATTTTAATATATAAGTTTCGAGGACAGTAAGATTATACGTTTGCCAATAGTTTCTCAAGTTTCTTTTCCGATCTATTGTGTAGTAGATCGGGGTCAACTACGCTGCATTCGACATTTATTTGAACCCTAAATATGGGTGTACTAAATTAAATATCTGTCTCCGCAATGTTAAAAATTTCGCAATCAAATGTATCACTATTTTTTTTTTTAATTAGTTTTATAATATATATATATATATATATATATATATATATCGATGAATCCTCTGCTAAATTTATTTCTAGGTAATCTTGAATTGAGACATTATTTTTTATTCCAAGACTCTCATCAACTCCTAAACCCAAGCTCAATACAAAAAAAAACGGCAACATTGAATTATTATATAACCTTTACAATAACTTTTTTAAAAATTGTCCTCATTTTTCAGTGCACTTGATCATTCTTCTTTGTAATTAATCATTTTTTTAAACTTTAACTTCATGTTCATTCATGTCATTGAAGTTTTTGCTCATAAAAAAATGTTCTTTTTTTTTCAAATTGTTGTGATCAATTATTCAATGATGATGATATTTATAATTGATGAGTACACCTTTCAGATGACGTACAACCGAGAAACTTTATCGTTTTTGCACAAAAAACGAATCCAAGTAATTTTTAGCCACTGTTACATGTATCAAACTCCAAATTTAGATCTATTGACTCAAAATATTGAGTATTTTATCTAAATTTAACTCGTTTTTATAAAGAAGGACTTATCTATGTGCCAAATAATTCAAATGGAATTGAAGAAATTTAAAAAATATTCTAAATTTAATTGAGTCGCGAGACTGAAGCTTTCGAAATCGTTCAGGCTGCCAATGCTTGAGTGAAAAATAGATGTTCGATTCTGTTGAGATGTTAAGATGTTAGAGAAGTTAGTAGAAGAGAGGGAAAAAGAAAAAGAAGTACAAGAAGAAGAAGAAAAAGAAGAAGGAAACACGTATTAGGGATGGCAGACCGAATCATTTTAAACGTATAAAGATACTACATGATGCGTAGAGGTCAGGCTTTTTTACTCAAGACAAGATCGCGGAAGAAACATGAAAGATAAATAAATTAAATAAAACACTCTGTGACATTAAGACATTAATAGATCCATTTTCGAATTTTTATAAATATTTATTTTTTCGTTCAAACATTTCCTTTTCAGTTGTGCTATTTTTTTTATCACATTCTCCTTTCATTACTACTAATTCATTTTGATAACATTTGCTCCAATTTTTTTTATCATCAATTACGATTAATAGACTCGTGATATTTATGGTATTTTGATATGTTATTATAATCTTAATAAGAAACAGGAAAAAGTTATTTATTCTGTCACACGCTTATAATTATAAATGATATTTTAAAGATAAAATGTCAATATTTTGAGAATGGAATGGATTTTTGATTGAAAGGAAAAAGGAATTTTGAAAAAAAATATGTAAATGAAAATGAAAAAAAGTAGTTTATAGTTATTGATGTGAGGTGAGTTGTGAAAGTGCGTTGTAAAGTTTATTGATCCATCACCATGCCCCCAATTACTCAAAGGCGGCGGCGGCGGCAGGGAGAAATGAATGAAGTGAGAGTAATATAGAAAGAGAGGGGAGTATGAAATGCATTTCATCGGGAAGTTTACAGTAGTACAACAACGAGTACATTCACTTACACAAATTCATTTTAATTTTGTCAGTTTATAAATAATTATAACCCTTGTAATTTTATTACACAGTAACTAGATATTTTAAGTAAAGAATAAAATTGGAAAGTAAGAAGTGATAAGATTGGTACAAAAAAAAGAAATAATCAACTTGAAAAAAATTAATGAAAGAATATTAAAAGAACATATGTGCTTCCTGAACCCTTCGAATAATTACTTTTTTTTTCTTAAAATATCAAATGTCTGTTTTGATAGCAATTTACTGCCATATAGCGAAAAATTTTAATGAAACAAAATCTCACGGCTCCAAAATTATTCAAACAGTTGAACAATGACGATAAAAATAAAAGTATAGAGTATATATATATATATATAAGATTCTTGTAGAAAGTAAAAGTCTTAAATCCACTCGACCCCCCCGGTTTTTTATTTGAATTTGTCGAAAGGGTTCAATTCTGTTTATTTTCAAGGATACCGAAGGGTGTCCCCCTTCTTTTTATTTCTATGTTCATATATGTAGCTAATGTGAAACACACATATAGGCACCCTGATGGTACTTATTGCCTGAAAAAACGAACGTTGTCACGCAGTTAAAACTTTACAAAAAAAAGAGGAGAAAGAAAGAAAATTTCATCTATATATATTAAGAGGGGGTGGAAAGAAAGGGACAGGAGTCTATAGAATTTAAGGGCATTAAGTAGTAGGTTTCAAACAAAATCCATATAATATAAACGAGGGTGATTAAAACTACGAGAACGATAGAGGAAAAAATGGAGCCCTTTAATAATATTTTTTTTTAATTTCAAGTTTTTGAAATGAAAAAAAAAAAAATCAATCAACTTCTTCAAAAATGATTGGTAAAATTTTTCTCTTCTATTTACAGACTCACCACCAGTTAGAGATGATAATAAATTAGTTGATAAATTTTTAAGAGACAAGATTCATATTATTATGAGACAAAGTGTTAACATATATTACAAGGGTGGTAAGTGTGTTGACCATCCGTAACGTTTATTCTTACTCTCTAGATATTTGTAAAGCACGAGGTGCTAAACGACTTCTCTAATGCTAGGAAAGAGCAAAACAGGAGTCAGAATAGCGGAGTAAAATGTAATTTTAACACAAATAACGCGCGCCGTCGTCAGTTAAAGATTCAAATGCGTATTTCGCTGACGAAGACAAGAACAGACAATAAGTCGGAGACATTTGTGCATCTTAGAATAGTTTAGTATCCGCCTGCTTCTTACTTTACATCTCTCATATATGCTTCCCTTTGAATATTCCTTTTTTTATGCAAACATATTCCCTTGTTTTTCTCACTTCCTCTACTCCCTTTACACACTGACTAGCATTTATGAGTTGCTTCAAGACATAAGACAAGTTTCCACGAATCTTCACTCACTTTTCAAATTAATAATTAAAATATTTTCATCTCCCTTAAAGTCTCATTTCTTCTGATTATATTCATCAATGAGAATTGAATATTTGCAAACATTTTATGTAATTACTTTTATAATAAATTTTAAACTTAATCTTTGAAAACAAAAGATCATTTAGTAGTAATGAATTAAATAAATCAGTTTTTTCAAGTGCAATTACATACAGAAATTGATTGAAATTATGTAAACTCACGTTTTTATGAATAGATACACGTGTGTTGTATTTCATTCCTGCAGCATACAGTATGTGTAATAATATGTAGTTAGATAAAGGGTTATTCAGGCGGACCAACTACGGATTAAATGATAAAATAGTTGAGAAAAAAAATCGAGACATAGAAAAATTGAGAGAGACAGAGCAAAAGACAGGAGTAAAAAGACCCCTAAAATACAGACTCTTTTCAATCTTGCTTTTTGAAAAATTTTTCAACTTATTTCTGTCTCCTTTTCTTTATCTCACTCTCTTTTTCTCGCTTATATCTACACTCTTTTAATCTGATTTTTTTTGACTGGGTCGCGCGAGTTTTAAGAACTCTGAAAAACGAATGAGAATAAAGGGTTCCCCCTGAGTTTGAAAAGGCGGCGGAGGTTATATAGAAGGGCAAGCTACTACGGGTTCGAATAGAATTCAAACTCACACACGCGCATAAATTTCAAAGATGCATTTCATTCTTACGCAGGAACACGTGTGTGTATGTACATGTGGAGGCTTGTCATATTTTTTAAGATTTGCTGTTTAAGCTCAGGCACGTTTTCTTATTGAAATGATATTTCTGTTCACGAAAATCCTCTGATAATCTAGATAATTCAACTTTTTTTTCTGATTTTTACCCTGTTCTTATTGTAATATTTTCTTAATATGAATAAATTATTAATTATTAAAATAATAATTCACTTAATCGTCCAATAAAAATTTATTAATAAAGAAATACTTTAGTCATTTTATCTTGAATTTTAGAATTAAATTGATCGGTTACTTTGAAAGTAAAACAGTAATTTTTAAGTTTAAATACATATCAAAATAGTAGAAACCTACATAAATATTTTTGTTACAGCTTTACTGAGGCAGAGTATGTCACCAGTCGCAGCAGACAACCTTATCGGCACCAAGTCTACTATTTCCCAGCCGGCAATTGACTACTCGCGATATGTTCGTCGATTCTCATCAGGTCAAGAATGTGGAAGTTCTTATTGCAAAGAACTTGGCTGTCGTGAACACTTTCACTGCCTAGATTGCAGTGGTCGAGTTTTTGTCAAAAAAGAAGAAATGATTAGACATTTTAAATGGCATAAAAAAAGAGATGAATCATTGCAACATGGTTTCATGAGGTATTCTCCAACTGATGATTGCTCTGAAAGACATCCCTCTCGATCATGTCCACACAATCGAAAGCAAACTCACTACCACTGTATTCATGAAAACTGCGATAAAGTTTACATTTCAACATCTGACGTTCAAATGCACGCTAATTATCATCGTAAAGATTCAGCTATTATTCAAGAAGGTTTCCAAAGATTTCGTGCTACTGAAAATTGTGGAACAGAGTATTGTCCTTTTGCAGGACAACGAACAACTCATTTCCACTGTCGAAGAATGGGATGTCGGTTTACATTTAAAAATAAAGCCGACATGGATAAACATAAATCTTATCATATCAAAGACGAACAGCTTTCACGTGATGGATTTAAAAAATTTATGAAATCAGAAACTTGTCCTTTCGATCAATGTCGATTCTCTCGTGTGTGCAATCACATACATTGCATCCGACCCCACTGTAGTTATGTTTTACATTCATCTGGCCAACTTTTTTCTCACAAACGGAAACATGAAAGACATGAGTCTGAACTTGCGTATCGTAAATATAAGCAAGGAACAAATCCTAGATCTAGTTGGGAAGATTTTAACAATCAAGGTCTACTAAGTATGAACGGCGAAAATTCTAATGAAGATCAAGGGTCTCCAGCTTTTTATACTCTGGATGATTCCTTTCAAAGTGCTAGTGATTTAGCTATAGATTTGACTGCTTCGGCTGCTAGTACACCTGGGCCATTTACTGCTAGCAGTAGTTCTTTGGCTGAGCCACCCCAATCACCCCAACAACAATTAACTCCCGGTGAATTGACTTATTTAGCACCAGCTTCTGCTGATTGTTCGTGTAATTATAATCAAGAACATCATCATTGTGCTTTAGACCAATGTGGAGCAACACTAAGAGATCCTAAAGAAGTGAGAGAACATCTTCGAGAACATGAAACCCAAGAGCGTATTACTGATGCTTTCTTTGAAGAAGGAGGATGTGATGATTCATGTCCGTATTCTGATAAAGAAAAACATTATCACTGTAATTGGGAAAATTGTAAAGAAGTTATTTTGGCTACTGATAAACCTTTTAGAAGACTTCAACATTACAAAATTCACGAATATAGCAAACAATTAAATTTGAGTTCATCGACACAAATATTATCGTCAGATGTAACTCTAACACATTTAACTAATATTGATGCCATGTTTAGGCGAAAAAGAGGAAGACCACCAAAAAATCGAGTTATTGAAATTTGGTCTGGTGGAGGAGATCCAGCAGGTCAAACTCAAGATTTTCCTCAAGCCATATTTACCAGCTTTAAATTACCTAAACCTAATGCACCACCTGTTCATCCTATTATTGATGATCGTGAAGACAACTCTTCACCAGAAAACAGCATTGAAGAACCAGAAGGCTTCGCCACATATCATCCAGACTCCTGTCCTGATCCTGCTTGTGTCATTAGATCAACGAGACATCATCACTGTTTACAATCTCGTTGTCATTTTGTAACGGATCGGTCAGATCAACTATTGATGCATAGTAAAGATTTTCATGACAACGTTGATATCCCTCCCGGTTTTGCTTTCTTTGACAAACTGGTTGACTGTCGGCTTCCTGAATGTCATAGCAATAGAGTTCATCGACATTATCATTGTACAAGACCTAATTGTGGTTACTCATTTGTACGATACTCTACAATAGCTCAGCATGAAAAACAACACATTGAAGCACAACAGCAACAAACATCACTTGACAATGATGGTAATCAAGATGTTCAACAAGTACATCATGAAAAACCAAGAATTCAAGTGAAAAATCCTGCTGAATTAATAGAAAAACCTGAAATTAATCCTGAAGAAAAATCTTGCGGTCTCCTCGACATCAAGGAAGAAGAAGTGACGGGTCTAGATTCTAATAAAACTACCGGTAAGTTTAATTTTTAATAGAGTTTTCCATCACTCATATAAAAATATTCAATGCCACACGACAAAATTTTTTTTTCTTTGGAGTGTATGTATGGTTGAGTTATGTATGTAAATGTAAATATAAATTTAAAAAGAAAAAGATAGCAAGAAACTTTTCAAAGAATAATGAATAAAAAATTCTATGACAATTTGGTCAATAAATTTTTTATAAATATATATATATATCATAAATATTAAGAAATTCACAAATTAGATATTTATCATTCTTATTAGAACACATGCATGATGCACGTACTAAAATTTCAACACGTTAGAAAAAATCACTATAGAATGTTTTTTTTTTCTTTTTTTTCTGATTGTGTGTTATGTATTACAGTGAAAATAGTATGATGAATGTCAATATTTAATTTATTAGTAAGGTGGTTGTATTATAGTATCATAGTGGGTGGTATATTTCAAGTGTTGGTTGTCTTTGGTTGATTGTTGTTAGTGGTGAGGGCGGCTGGCACCTATTACCCGGTCAGTGGACCACCAAACGAACCCGCACTACCGAGCGCCATGCTATCCATGCGAGCTTCCGGGCACCAAGGTTCGTCTTGATTACTAGTTTTGTTCTATCAGTCTTTTTGAACAGATAACTTATAAATTTGCAACCATTATTTTAATATAATTTTATCATTTATTTTAAAACTTTCTTTTCAATAGAAGTAATAAATAATAATTTTTTTACTTATTTGCAGAATCCTCAGTACCATCAACTAGTTCATCATCGCCTCATACACTTTATGGTCCTGATCAAAGCTGTAGTCGTCCATTCTGCAAATTGAAGCGAAAAAACCACTACCATTGCAACGCATGTAATCAGGCATGTTCAGAATTGGATAAGTTGATAGCTCACATTGCGAAGCATTCAACAGGAGCAATTCTCAGCCAACAACATGATCTCACACAACATGAAAGTCTTTCTCGTGATTATATAGCTCAATTATCTCAACAAAAACATGACTTTATGAGTCAGAACGTGTCTATGGTTCAAAATCTTCAAAACATACAAAACTTCCAAAGTATTCAACGACAAATGCAACATGGTCTTAACCAGATGAATCAACAATCACATCAGCAACATTCTCATCATCAATCTCAACAACAACAACAGCAACACAAACAACAACAGCAGCAACAACAACAATCACAACAACAAATATCTACTATGAAAGAAATAAAATTAGAGAGTCCAAGATCTGAATCCAACATTAATAGTATTAAACGAGAACCTTTGGAATCAATGAGAGATGAGGCTATAGCTACTCCCAGCACTAATTCAATATCGGATTCCAATGAAAATGGACAAATGCCACCACTAGTACCTACAAGCCTTTCACAATCGGTGCCAACATCTTTTGAACTTGATTTAAGCCATGGGTTTCATTTTCCTGGTCCTGCAGTAATGGCTGCCATGAATCAGCAAATTGCGCTTATGAATCTTCCACCATTTCTTCAACATTCAGGAATGTATAGCGGTGCCCCTAGCTTAATGTTCGCGCCTACATTACCTCCTGGAAATTTTTTATCTACTCCAAGAGAAGAAAATCCATTAGCATCACTTGCTGCTAATCTGAATCTAAATAAAAGATCTCTATCACCAATTGATAGCAGCAATTCTGTTGAGGCTAAAAAACAAAGACTCCATCATTCAATGAGAATGCTGAAAGACGAACCTGTTCCTGAAGGATATGTTCGATTTAGGTTTAATGAAGATTGTAGATATCCTCATTGTGGTTATAGAGAACATCAGACTCATTTTCACTGTATGAGACAAGATTGTGGCTATTCTTTCTGCGATAAAACGAGATTTGTACAGCATACTGCTAGACATGAACGTTTAGATACTTTAATGGGTGGAGATTTTCAACAATATCGAGCTAATGTACCTTGTGGTAGGGCTCAATGTGCATATACATCATCACTTGGTTCTATGCAAAATAAAGCGTCACATTTTCACTGCCTCAAATGCGATTTTGTTTGCACAGACACTAATAAAGTAGTAGCTCATAGAAGACAGCACGCTAAATTAGATAGTATTGCTGCAGCTGGATTTCAAAAATTCACTCCAAGTCAACCTTGTGGTGCTGTTCAGTGTCAACATTCAGGAAAACAAACTCATTATCATTGTCTCCAATGTCAGTATGCTGTTTTAGGATTAGCGCAAATGTCTGCACATAAATATCGACACATGGATGGTTAAAACATTGATATTAATTTATGCAATTAGTGAAACGGATTTTTAAATGATAAATATTGGTTTTTTAGAAAATTTTAATAGACGATTAATGTATAAATACAAATATATAAATAGTTTATCAAAGTTTAATCATATTAACTTTTATTTATATGAAATTCATTAATAAAATACTTTGATAAAAGTTGATTGAGATTGTAATTAATGAAATGAGTTGGAAATAAAAGATTTCCAACAATAAATGTGAATTAAAATTCACGAAAAAAGTCATTAAAAATTGAAAACATTTTTTTATTAAATAATAAAAATGATTACTAAAACAAAATGAAAACGTGTTTTTAATATTATTATAATTATTATTATTAATATTTTTATTTTATTATTATAAATTATAAATATAATGACCAGTATTGATAAATAAAACTCGGAAAAAAGACTGTCGGCAAAAAAAAAGACAAAATAAAGGTAAAGCATAAAAGAGATTTGAAAAATCATCTTTTATTACAATCTAGATGTAAACACAGAAAAATAGAAAAATGATGAAGATTCTCAATGACAATATAACATAATGAAGAGAAAAGAAACTTTCATAAAAATAATTTTGAATTAATGGTATTATTATATAAAAATGCAAATAATTAAAAATAAAAAATTTTAAATGAACGGAGACAAAAACATAGTGAAGTAGTGTAAAATATTTATATTAATTAATTTTTAAAAATAGATTGAAATATTCAAAAAGTATATTTGCAATATACTTTTAAAATTTTATGAAATACAGTGATTGAAAAGTAATCTTATTATAGACTAAAAATATTATTCTTTTTTGTTTCTACAAATTAGTGATTGTAATTATTAAAGAAGTTATTTTAAAAATAAAAATTCAAATAAAGAATGTATATGTAAATGTGTAATTTCAGTAAAACTGTATAAGAATAGATTTTTATTGAAGACTTTTCATCTCTGGAATATTGTGTGATGCTCAAACAATTGAGAAAAAAATATATGGTAACAATAAGATTTATGAAAAAAAAATAAAAGAAATATTATTTCTCCTCCTTCTATATTAATATAATTTTTTTCTTAAAAAAATTATGTAAATTTACGCAAGTAGTGCATATAAATATTTATAGTTTCATTTTAAATTGATATAAAAAACTAATAATGCCATTTATCAGCAAATTGGAAGAGAAAAAAAAATAAGTTGAAAATAAACATTAATCCAAAATTGATTATAAATTTTTAGAGATTTTATTTTTTGGTTACTTATTCTATGACCCAATTATACCGAGAAAAATTAATAAACACATAAATTTTACGAGTGCCTTTTAGATTTTTCTGTTTTCATTAAAATATATTTTTAAAGAGCGTAACGAGTGTGATAGACCTCCACTAAATAAGTGTACTAATATTGATTTAAACAAATAGAAATTAACGAAAATAAAGTAAAAAGAAAAGAATCTTTCAAGCAATTCATGAAAAAAAATAGATGGTAAGCTTGAAATATAAGTCGTATAACTTGAAAGGAAATAAATGGATTCTTTAAACTAGTGCCTTACATCCAATATTTACAGAATAATCGAACAATAAATATTAATTAATTCCTGTGTTATAACAATAGTAAATTATTGACATTTATTTCCATACTTTGATACTTACATAATGATAAAAAAGTTCAGACATACATAAACTATATTTATTGATAACATAATTGATTTTTTATCATTTATTTCAATTAAAAGTTGAATAGAACAGAAGCAAATATATTTCAATAATTACTTATAGATCAATTAATTTCTTTCGTACTGAATTTACGGATTCAAATTTATGTAGATATAACCATTTAGTAAGATGAGATATTGAGTCATGAAATGTACCCGTTCTATTCATGATATTTAATAAGTTTTTTTTTATAATCAAAGAACATACATTTGTATAATCATTCTGCAGACGAAAAAATATCAAGTAAAGATGATAAGTTAATTTTTTCTAAGAAATAAAGTAGAGTTTAATAATTTACAATAAATAGAAAAATATACCAAGTCTGAGTGTAGCAATAACGTATCTTCTGTGGTACCACACAAGAAATATGAGCAACGAATGACTGTACTCAGGTTTAATGTTTTCTTGTAATTATTATTATAACTTTTATATCTATCATTTCTTCTCACTTGATTATTTTATACTTATTTATATGGTTAACATTTTTTTTTTTCAAAAAGAACGATAAAAACGATGTTTCTTCTTAGCTAGGTCATAGTAGCCATACAAGTGCCATAAACAAAGCAAAGACGATTAAAATAATATTCTTTAGTGAATGAAGAACGGAAAGATGATGAATATTTAATGAAAAATATTCTGAGAAGAGAAGCAAATGACTTTTTTTTCTTTTTACTTTTTTTCTTTAATATTTGTGAATTTAATTAATGAATATTCTGTAATTCTACTTAAGAAATCATTAGAAAAGTCATAAGTGAATGAAAATGAGATATAAATAAATTAATGAGGAAATCATCGATAATACAAAAGTCAAGAGCAATAATTGAGTAGAGTAAAGCTGTATAAAGCAATACAATTGATAGGTTAAAAAAAAAATAGAAATAAATATGAAAAATAAAAACTCAATAAAGAATCGTCAGTCAAGCATAACGAAAAAATTTATGTTGGAGTGAGAAAATATAGACTTAACAGAGAAGCTTTTTTACTAGTTGAGAAAATTCTAAATTATCTCAATTTCTTAATTAACTTTGTTACGCTTTAGTGTATGTTATACAGAGTTTATTCGTCCACTTGGAAACAAAGTGCATTGAGCAAAAAAAAATTATAAAAACGATTGAATTGAAAAAAAAATAATAAAGAATAAAGATATAAAAAAACGAAAGATAAAAAATAGAAGAATTATTCAAATTGAATAGGACTATATATTTATGGAGTAACTAGATTTTTTCATTACAATCATTAGTACTATGTGACATATATAATAAAACAAAAAGATTAATAAATAAAAATAAGTATAAAATATAATTTTATTATTATCATTATAATTATCACATTATTATTCTTATTATAACTATGAATTATCAGTAAAATTATTATGAAAATTATACTTCTTATGTAGCTGTGATTTTGCTTTCAAATAGTGACAATTACAAAATATTTATATAATCTATGTATAGTTAACATTTTTTAAATCCTTATTCCTTTCTTAATGAAATGTAATTGTTATTAACAATAATTTAATTTTCTATCAGTATTGTAAGCCAAATAAATACATTAATAATAGAAATATTAGATTAGAATCAATGTTATTTTAAAAAAAGTTTTTTAATTTAATAAATTTTTTTAAAATGCATCTACAGGTACGTAAAAACATAAAAATGTTTTGATTGTAACCTTGAGTACAGATTTATTTGTGACGCATTTGAATATGATAATAATAGTCCATAATTTTCTATCCAATTGTCCATATATACGTCACAAATACATTGGTATATTTTCGAATGTAATTTCCATCATTACATTCCCATTTTCTGACATAATGAAAACTGTCTTGCTCTCCTTATACATATTTAGAACCTTAGCAATACTATGACATGTTTTGCATGCGAGATCAATGAATTGTTACATAATAATATTTCAAGACTTAAAAAAGACTGATTATATTATATTCATAATAGTAAGAGGATTATTTTCTGCATGGAATTGTCTCAAGTTCGTTCATTAGTTTATTTATTTTTAGGTTTTATATCTACGTTTTTTTTCTATTACGATATGGTATCAGTGATTATTTCATCATAAAACGTACATGCGGAAAATCACGTTCGATACTTTGTATGTACTTGATTTGTACTGTCGTTAAGAAAAATTAGGTCTCCTGATCAATGTTACATTTACCCACTTTAAAAATTGTCTAGTCAAATGTCAATTTTACCAGATAATGGAATAATTAAAAATCTCTTGTAAGTAAGCCGATACATGATAAAAATCGAATAATCTGACACAGACTAAAACTCATAAAACTGATAAAATAATTTTTATTCTTGTTTATCATGTACGGGAACTTTCTTATCTATTGGCTTTTTTTATATTTCTAGTATCTAAAACTATAGACAAGACATGAGATATCTTCAAGAAAGTATAAATATTCCATGAAATATTTTAACTGTTATGACCTGAGTGTCATTTCATAACAATTGTTTTTTGTTACGCGTCAGAAAATCGAACCTCGAACCCATTAACCATCGGACCCATTATATGAAATACTTTATTCATTATTAATTATTTGCTCTCAAATGAATGACAAGTATTTGAGAGACAACTGCATTGAACTTTCCCATTTCAAGGAGATAATATTACGAAATAAAATCACGGCGATGACACGTGAATATTCCGTGATTGAAGTAAACTTAAACATAATTGAAACTTATCTTATACTCATACCCTTTTGTTATACACTTAAACAATTGATAAAAATATTTGTTCATACGTACCTATATTGTTCTATTTCCATTTTAGCTGGATTGCTTTTTGTGCAATTTATAATAAATCATGTATGGATTTTATTCAAATGTGATTTGGTTAATTGAAAGTCATAGATTAACTTGATTGAAAAATCAAGTTCATACGCTGATATATATTTTCACCATTGGCGGCGCTGCCTACGTGATTCAACGATCTTGTGTGATGTGTTGCTAGCTTCTCACTACTCGTCTTACACACAAATCAGTTGTTGTTTAGATAGTGTAAGCGTGTTTCCTTAATAGTTTTGATACAACCTTATATGACTCTCATCAACTACGTTGCTTCAAAAAAAAACTGAGAGTAAAGGTAATTAAAACAATGAGTAAAGCCATCACATGATTTGAAAAGAGCATCGATTTTCGGTGAACAAAATTAGTCAAGAGTTTATTGTGTTCTCAAAATAACTTTTTTGGTTTTTCTTTCGAAAATATATCAAATTTTCTACAACTAAATAGTGCTTCGTTTGAAATATTCAATAAAAATAAAACTACTACGAAACTCATCGATCTGTAAGGGAGCAGCATAAGATATAAAAAAAAACTAGATCTCGCATTAACGGAAAAGGTAAATAATTTTTACTCATTTTTTATTTACATAAGATAATTTTATTATTATAAATATGTTTGTGAACATTATTAAATTCAATACTCAGATAAAGAAGATTGGAACAAAAGGTAACACAAGATTATATGTTAATTGATTTTTAATTGAAAAAAATATTTTTGTGTACATTTATAGTTTTTCGTTCAATTATTTACCTTTATTTATATTGTATTGGGGAAAAAGTTTTAGATTATATACATTTATTGTGACAAAAGTGACATGCGTACACGAAGTAATAATGAGTCGCTGGAAAGTTCGAAATACAAGTTTAGACGATCATTGTCATGTATATAAATTAAATGATGAGAATGTCATATATGTATAATAGAGTCGATAGGCTGAATTACCCAGTCAGTTAAAATCTTGTTAAGGTACTTGTAAATTATCTTCTAGAATATACCCACAAACCTTTCAATATTTTTTAATAAACTGTTAATATAAATAATTTGAAAATCATTTTCGTCATTAAAAAAAACTTAAAATAGAATGTTTTTCTATCATATTTTTTCAATATATTAAGAAGTTTATTTTTATCTTATGTTTTTATATTCAAATTATTCAATATTCTAATAAATGATGACATTTCATTGATTATTACATTCAAAAAAGTATCGAACAAAAAATTAACACTGATAAAACATCGGTAGTTAATCTTTCACGGAATGATTATTTTTAGTTTCTATAAATATTTATTCCTGAATAATTAATGTGAAAAAGTTGTATATAATTAATAAATCAATTTAAAAATAGATAGGAATTCTTTTTGTAAAAAAAAAAATGCATTGAATTCGTAGTGATTTTTATAATCAAAACAGTTCAAAGGCTATCTCAAATCACGTAGCACTCGGATGAATTTATATATGATTTATTAAAAACACAAGTATAAATGAAAAAAAAATGAAAAAATATTGACCGATCTTTTGTTTTGTGTGAAATATTCCGAATTATTTAGCTTACTCAGAATAAACAGTTTTGCTTTTTTAAATTGTATGTATTAACACTCATACGCTATATTTTCCTGTGATTATCATCCAATTTTTTTTACTTCTTTTCATACAGATCACTTATTACTTAGTAGCTAAATGCATTTTTATTTTGCCAAGTTTGTCATATGAATGACAATTATGTATATATTATTATTATTATTTTTCAGAGCTGATAACCTTACAGTAATAAGTAGTAAAGAGGAGGGGGGAGAAATAAATCCAGAGGAAAGATAGAAAATAAGTGAGGACAAGAGTATCAGTCTGTTCTTCTTGTAACTCGAAAGGAAGAAGCAGCAGAAGAGAGAAAAGAATCGGAGAAGAAAACGAGCTAACTCGAAGGAGTGAAACAATAGAAGAAGGAAAAATTTATTAATCATGGAGAAATCATTATTATCCGTTAAACCAACTCTAGTCAGACGTGTTTCCGATTTATTCAAAGGTAAATTTTTTTTTAAATTATACGTTTAAGTTAAATATATTATTAATAAATGGTAATATATTCACATTATCTGAAGTAAATAATGGATATGATTTTAAAATAATACAAATTTTAAAAAACATCATTTTCATTTTTATTATAAATTATTTAATTTTAATTTATTTTCAAATAATTATTTCTTTTTATCAGACGGAAACAACAATGGCTCACAGCTACTTTTTAACAATACATCAATGCAGAAACTTCGACATTGTTGTCAAAATCTTGGGCATTTTCCATATTTATTCCATTCATTCAGCAATTCAAAGTCTTCAAATGGCCATAGACTGCATTTAAATTTACTAATTGATCGTATTTGTGAAAGAATTTTCACTCTTTACACAAATAACTTACGGCAAGCAATTAGTTGTCGTTTTTCTACCGAATCCCACCAAAAATCAAGTGTCAGCCAAACGGCAAATGATGAGAATAGCTGCAATAAAATATTGGAAGTCCAGAAAATCTGCAGAAACCACTTCCAAGTAAAACATGAAAAACAAGAAAATAGTATCTTATTAAGGTTAGCAATATATGTAGTGCCAGTAATTTTATTGTCACAATTAATGGGTCTTATAAGTCTTATATTTATTGGCAAATATACTCCAGGATTTCTATTTCTCTTAAGCGCATTATTATTCCTTGGATATATATCGATGAAAATTTTCCTTTATCAAAATTTTATTCTCTATGATAAAAATTTTGGGAAAAGAAAACTCGAATGATAAGTTACTAAATATATCAGTTAGTTATAAACTTTGGTCTTAATTGGAAAACAATTAGAAGTTATAAAAACATTTCTTATCTAAGCTCTCTGTATTTTCATGATAAAAACTTATCTATCTCTTATTCTAATATCACCATATTTCAAAAGATCTTCTACTATAACTTGGTATAAAAATATAAAAATAATTATAGTAGTAGCATGAATAATAGTTATAGTATTCAAAGTGATGAAGTAATATATTAAATTTAGTTATCTAACGTAAAGAAAATTTAAAAATATGATATTGAGTACATATGACATTAATTTCGTTTAAATATTTTTATTATTTACATAAATAAAATTTTGGAAATATTTATACGTTAAGCGTAACAGTTATTCTACTTATAATTTATATAAATTATTACTTTAAGTCATAATTTTTTATATATGAAGGTTTATGTTATTTAAATAAATTATTCAAATATTTTCGGCTAAAATCATATTTAATTGTTTACTTGTAAATTTTGTAAAATTTATTATCAGAAGAGATAGGTAGCCCCACACAGTAAGATGAAAGAATTGTTATTAATACTTGATCTGTGTAGTGTAAGACTGAAAATAACTTTAAATATATTTGTAAATATTTGCAATACAACAAAAACTTTTATAATAAAATTATCAAATTATTCTTCAAACTAAAAACTTGGTGTTTTTAATTAATTGCTTTATTAGTATAATATATATTTTTTATTAACAAAAACATAACTGTATATATAAGTAAGATCAACGACATCTCCCGAATAAATGTCATCAGTAATGATATATCGATATCGAGTAAATAATGATTCATTTAACTCGATTCTTAATATTAAATTTATTGTTAAAAAATTGAATACTCTGTAATGACGTTGGCGATGATAAATTTCTTTCAACATTCATATGAAGGATTTTCTACAACTGGTATAAAATTACACATGATATATTGCTGATAATAATTAACACACTCCATTTCCTGTCAAAGTATTGATTAGCACTGCTGGTAAAATATGGGCCTATCCGAGAAGCGTAACCGATAACGTATGCAATATAATTTTGCTCATGTGTTGAATGAATTAAATGAGCGAATGGACCTGAACATTTTTTGATTTGACAAATAATTATGCAAATAAATATAATTCATTTTTAAATAAAAGATATTACCTTTAGCATAAATAGCAACATCTCCACCGCCGTGATATGCTTCATCAGTAATAATACCTGCTTGTTGACTATAATTAAAATGAAGAGTATCAGAATCTCTTGGATCTATTCTCACTGCTTCTCCATCTATCACAGTATAAGCTTTGTTATTTACACCCCCAGTGCTATATGATAATGTTGTAAATGGAATTCCATCATACTTGGATGATTGTGCAATGCCTGAAAAATTAAAATAACATATTATCAATTTTTATTTATGAAAAAAAAACATTTTATTTTATCATACCAAGGATAGAGTTATTGCGATCAGAGTAACCATTGAAAGACATAGAATGTGAGTGGTCACTCGTTACAATGATTAACGTATCACTTAAATCAACTGCATTAATAGTGGCATTAACAGCATCGGAAAGCCTTACAGTTTCTCGAAGTGCTTGAGCAGCATGTCCTCGATGATGCGCGTAGTCTATTAATCCACCTTCGACCTGTAAAAATCTTTATATTAACAAAGTTGTATCATTCTGATAATATAATTTAAATTCGTTACATTATAATAAAAATGTTACCACAAGTAAATAACCCTTCGAAGATTTTTCTAATACTTTGATTGCCATTTTTGTCATTTCTTCTAAACTTGGTTGACCTTCAGAACTATCTACTCTTTCCCAATCCATTCGTAAATGTCCATTAGCAAAAATTCCAAGTAAAAATTCGATATTTGTAGGATCTAAGCTTCTTAACTCTTTATTGTTCTGAACAACTTTATAAGAAAAATTTCTTAACTTTTTGTCTTGAACCCAATCATTGATTAAATCTCTGCCATCAGTACTGTAGCAAGCCCAAGTATCGATAGGATCTATCTCAGTTCCGCTAACATTTGATTGCAACATCTGCCTTCCGCCTCCCATAATTACTTTAATATTTTTCCCTGGAGTATTTTCTATCAATTGTTTTGCTATATCTTTACATTTTTTCGATGTTTCTGGTATTTCATTTTCACATTCCCACTTTCTGTTCGGTGAATGTGCATAAAGAGGAGCCGGAGTAGCATGTGTAACTCTTGTTGTTGTTACGAACCCTTGAAAAATTAATATTTTCCAATTTTAACAATTATTTACTCCAAAGTATTTGTTAAAAAAATAAACCTGTGTCTTTTCCTGCTTCTTGTGCCCATTCAATAATTGAAGAAACGTGAAATTTAGGATTTAAACTTGCATCGCAATCATTTAATTGGACATGTGAATCAACTCCAACTACATTATAGTTGGTTTTTACACCACTGAATAATGCTGTAGCTGTTGAAGCTGAATCAGCAACTTTTTTATTCGTATTATATGTCTGTAAAATAATGAAATTCAAATAAAATAGCTTGTGCAAAGTACCAAGTAAGCAAAACTAAATCTACAATAGTTTGAAAAATACCCACTTTTATTAAGCCAACATGAGGAAGTTTTTCCCACGCAAGATTACTTGTTTCGCCAGCTCTATAAATTCTACTTGCAGTTGCAGTATCAATACTCATTCCATCTCCAATAAATAGAATAACATTTTTTGCTATATTTTCATTCCATTTATATGATAATGATTCTTTTAATTCATCATTAGCTATTTTTTTCCAATAATTGGAATCTATGCAATAAGAAAATAAAAGTTAATTACAATTGGTGAAATATTTGTTTCAAATATTAAACAGACTTTAACTACCAATAGAATGTATGAAGAAAAAATTATTATTAAAAATAATGCACTTACCCTCGATTGTTATTACATAATTAATAATTGTTAATATTATTAAAACTATCTTTAATACTGATGTGTAAAAATCCATTGCTTATTATTTCGTTTTTTAATTAATATATCTTATCTTTGTTATCTGATTATCTTACACATACTGAAGATTCCTCTGTAACACCAGAAAGCAATTCTTTTCAATTTTTGCTTAGTAACATTTAGATATTTCCTTCATCATTAATCATTATTGTAATACTAAATTAATAGAAATAATTTTCTAAGAAGAGAACCATTTATCTATTATAAATTTGAAGGACAAATTAATAAAAACATTATTATTTTCAACGATTCACAATTAATTGTAGAACTTAATAGAATAAGTATTTTTCCTTTACACGAAAGAATTTTAGAAGACTTTCAAAAATATGACAATAACGTTCGTTTAAAAACAACATTTATCAATTAAAATATTTACTCACAATAATAAAAATATTTTTAACAATTCTCATTGAAACTAAAATAAATGCATGTTCTAGCTATTTTTAAAATAATTATTAATAATAAATTAAATTAAATGTTATATGTAATAGCTTCAAATTTCATTCAAACAACGTTCTTTTAATATCAACATGTTGCTGTGTTTTTATGTTAATTCGACCTAACCTTCAATATTATCTGAATACATATGGTATATAGATTCCTTCATCATCAATAGCAGAAAAATTAGATAATTTGTTATCAGTGAAAGAACTTTATTAGAAAAAGATAGAAGATCCTTGTGTATTCGTTAAATTTATATGTAGACACAGGATGCTGAGTGTTTATTAACATATTTTAAAGATTTAATATCTACATATGTTGGGATCAAAGTACTAAGCATCCTGCTTGATTATCCAATTTTTTAAGACATATATACTCTGCAATTAACAAAACATAATATGAATATTAAATCCAACAATTTATTACAACTACACAAGTTCTTCATTTGAAATGTGGCACATTTATTACATATTTAATTTTTTAAATTTCTGTTTATACTTTGAAACCATATAAAGGTATTACACATTAATATTCTTTATAAAAATAAGATATCAAGTCCAAAAAAACTAATTAAGATAGAAACTCTGCAATTAGGAATCATGGCCCACAAAGAATTTTAATTCATTATAATTTGGAGTTCATTAATTTAATTGTACTTCATTAAAATGAAATGTCAATAGAAGATTTAAGTATCCTTTCTCAGTTATTATGTAAGAAGAAATAGTAAAATATTCTCTCTTAAAACTACTTGATATTCATGATGCATTTTTCCACAGGGTATTTACCGCAAAGAATAGTTGCAAAGAATGTGGACCGTAAGTGAATAGTTTGACGACCCATTGATTCTGCAAATCATTTGTAAGCTATTTGCACAGAGGGAATAAGGAATGAAGATAGATAAACATAAGGTAAAAGGTGTGATGTGAATTTCAATAAGTTTGTTACTTAAAACGTTGCTCATCAAGCACGCAAATGCGTTCATGAGCACGACCCAGAACAGATCATTGTTTTGCTTTGATCAAACATCAAAGAAAAGTCAAGTTGTAAAATACCTATTTGCATTTCATGTGTTTCTTTTTATTCAAGTTTCGTGGTGTAGATGTGTGCGGATGAAAAAAACTGTTGAAACCAATAACACAGAGTGAATTTTTTCTCGTCCACATGGTGTTACTTCCCTTCTTTTTCTCATTCTCTTTCTTGTGTATTCATCTGCAGTACTCGACAACTCCCTCTCTTTACTGCTTCTATACGTTACTAGTATGTAAAAGCTTCCACAACACTGTTGGTAGCTCGTAAGTCAAACGAAAAGCTCGTGTGACGATCAGTAGAGCTCAGTCTACTAGCTCAATCTGCTTAGTTGATTGTGGTGCGTTTATATATTTATATATTGAATGAATTCGAATAGTTTCAAGTATTTCAATTTTTTTATCATGAATATTTTTATTGAATTCATTCTTGTTCATCATGATATTGAATCATTATGAATATCTTTATTTTAATACACTTTATAATAAATTAATTATAATTATTAAAATGTATAATTACTAAAAAAAAATTTTATGTGCAAAAATGCTGCCTTCAAAAATTATTCTTGTCAACATTTGGATTTTTCTTATTTTAATCGATTTAATATACACTTCTCAAGGTAAATATTCATTTAATAAATAATGCATCTTGATATTGAGATAAACAGTAATGAGAAGTTTTTTTTTACTAATTATTCTAATTACTAAATAATTAGTATTCAAAAAAATATTCATATATTTAAACCTTAATGAATCTAATAATTTTTTTTGTATTTTCTTCAAGAACCCATTAATAATTCATTTGATAGACGTTCATAAATTGAGTAATATTCGTCTGGGATATAGCAATAACAGTTATGATAGTATCGTCATTAAAAGTGCAATTGAGTGAATTAACGTATGCGACTCAATACATGTAATATATTCTTCGTATTAATCAAAACATTTATACAAATTATTTTTCTTTCATCTATTTTCATAAAAGTTTTATGAATCGTTGAAAATCGACTGAGCATTTATCTTTACGTGTGATAAAATAAATACAAATCATAATAACTAATAATTAAATACTTATAAACACTTTCTATTTTCTATATTTATTACTTATAATATGTGTATCATTAAACTCCATACTTTAGGATTCTCTATCTATCAAGATGTTGGGATATAACGATTAAGTTATTTTCGTATATCCCACAGCAGAAGCCACAGAAATCCCACACGAAAGAGCTTTTGCCCCTTTGCTTATTGTGACTTTTATGAGCTTCTGATGTTTAATTGGCGCAAATCCAACAAAATTGACTTTGAATATTATCAATTTTTTACATTAAACTTGGAAAATATCTAGTGTGAATGTGGAAATAATAACTGTTAAACAAGATAACTTTCACCATAATTTATCATGTATTGAAAGTTATTTCAATTTTTTTTAATAGAAACAAAAATACTGAAAAATCAAACACCATATAAATTGTAGTATTTTTACAGTTGTTCAATTGATGGAGAAAGGGGATTCAGAATATTGTCATAAAGACAAAAAAGTTAAAAGAGCGGAAGAAAAAAAAATAAGAGAAAGAGGAAGACAGAGAGAATTTAAAATGCCAGGACAATTTGCAGTCTAATTGGCATCTATTAACTTAATTGTGTCATTCTTTTACGTGCAGAAAAGTCTACATGCATCATTCAGTGTCTTTGATGATGATTTTAACATTTTGACTTAATATTTAAATTCATATTTGCTTGAAACGTTAAATTCATATACACTAAATATATAAAGAGCGGAAGCACCATAAATTTTTTAGTGAATAAAATAATTTAAATTATAATGAATATAAAATTGAAATATAAATATTTATTCTAACTTATAAATTAAAAAAACAGCTAAAAAAGAAAATGTATAAAAACAGGCATTCATTCAAAAATAATTTTTATTTTATTCATCACTGATTTTTAATATAAAATACAATAAGTACTTCCTGTTTTTCTTAAGTATCCCTGAATTAAGGGTCTTGATGTTTTAAATGCTCCCGCATGTGACATTTTCACTGGACCCCTCAAATTATGACCCAGCATAAACATTAGACGTGTCTTGAGTCCGTTATATATTTTTTAAATTTCTCATGATAGATAGAATCTTTTATGTCAATCTTCTTCACTCATTTTTTTCTTCTTATTAATTATTTTTATTAAAAAAAAAACATTAATTATTTAAAAACATAAACAATTCACGATTAATTGTAAAAATTATATTATGTTATTTTTTCAGATATGTCGTGCTGCTCTCTGGTTACAGGGTCTTGTCGGAATACTTGTAATCAGGTGATTATACTTTGATTCAATTTATCATCAAACACTACCCTTTTTCAAATATTAGTATTATTGTGAACAGCTTCATACATACAATAATAAATTAGTTCTTATGTTGGAATGATTACAGAAATAAGAAAGTTTAAGGAAAAGAAAAAATATGATGATAACACATTGTTGATAACGATGAAAAACGAAATAGCAGAGTAAATTTAAACTAGATAGAAAAATATATGTAAAGTGAAAGACAAGTAGCATCTCTGATGGTCTGACTGCTGATGAAGACTTCCGGTTCTCGGAGAATCAAAATAAATAATAACCGGAAGTCAATGCTTCTGCATATAGATAAAATAAATATGACATAAATAATTAATTATACTAAAAGATGATTCATCTTATTAGTCATTTATGTTATATTCATGATCATTTTTCACTTTAGTTGATAAATTATGCAAATTATTGTGATAAATTGCAATAATAAAAAAGTCTTTAGTCTAAAGTTTATAAGAAAATATTTTTAAATAGATTTATAAGTTAAATATATTCTTATTTGAGGGAGTGGATACATAAAAAAAAGTTTTGCATACTTCCTAAAATATCACATGATGAAAATAGGCGCCAATGAATTTGTGTAGTATAGTATACTTTCAACTCTATATGTATTTGAAAATCATGAAAAACTTAAAGATAAATAATATTCTTTCTAGATAATAAAAAAAAAGATTTTATGATCTAAAATGTAATTTTTTTTTTGAGAAAATTCAATGTAGAATTTCGCATTGAATAATTTTTAGATTTATTCATATTGTTTACTCACTGATAAGTAGTTCTGAATAACATACTTTCTTACAAGGTTTTTGAGACTTTAGGCTGATATTAGATAAAAATAAAATGATAAAAATGAGTCAGAAGGTAACCTCTTGACATCGGACCCTCGATTCTTGATACATAGTCACTTTGTAACTATACTAATCTTTAGGAACCATGTCTACACTGTAAACTTTTAGATCCCACGTGAAACATACTAAAGAGTCGTACAAACGACTATTGAATGTCCAATGAGTACAAAATGAGTGTCCTCTTCGTCAATTCTTCTTTTCGTCTCTTTGTCTTTTTATTTTATACAATTGATATTCAGACGTAGAACAGGATATTGCTATACAAACGTGGTCATTCCAACGACGCATGACCAAGTTTTTTAATGGATTAGAATGCTCACAAATTTCTTTGTTCATTTATATTATACGCTATCTTCTGTAATTCATTTGATTATCCAAAGTTCAAAATTACACAATACCTGTTTATCACCTTTTTAGAATCTAATATTTTTAGACTAAAATTTTTAATCATTTTCAATTTAAAGACAATCATTATTTATAAATGTCACTTCATATATTGATTAAAAAAAAGATTTTAGTTTTTTTTGTCATTTTGAATATCATAAATAATTGATTTGTATTTTTCAGGTTTCTTTTGCTGCATTGAAACTGACAGATTATCAAGCAAAGAAAAATTTAAATCAACGACTAACTCAATCTTGTCCATTTGAATTGGTAAGAAAATTCTAATTCATGTATAAGTCTTTCTTCTCAGATTTGTAAAATATATATTTTATTGATAATATCTTGTCGATTCTGTTTATATTATAGATTGAATTCTGGTCTTGTATAAATTCAACGCAAAATGGTAAATAAAAACTTTTAAAAATAATATTTTATTTTTTATAAGTTTTAATTAATAATGTTATTTCTTATTACACAGAAGCAACTGATCATGAGAATTGGATCGGCAAAAACTGTTGTCATTTAGCTCAATATCCAATTTGTCAATCAACATGCATGTTGGCAGGATCTAAAACTCATTTAGAATCTTCTTGTCGCTCTAGTGATGAGTTAGAATTTTATTTTTGTTTGGAAAAGCAAGAAGAGATTGAAAGGTGTTGCAGTAGTATCACTAATGGAACCTGTCGTGCTAGTTGTCGAGAAATTTTTCATAAGTCTGAACAACAATCTAGTCTAAAACTTTATAGCAGTAAGGGATGTTTTCATCAAATACCGAAGTGTCTCGAATCTATTTCTGAATCTTTTACTGCTAGTGACAATCCAAGGCAATGTAAGTTATTTTGAAGTAAATTCAACAAACAAAATTAAATTAAAAAACTCACATCAATGTTTTTTTAGATCTTAACTGTTGTAAAGAAGCTACAACATCAACTTGCTTGGATGCATGTAGAAAGATTTTATTCACAGCAACTTCTGTAAAGGATATTTTAGATACATTAGAAGCAAAATGTCAACCAGCTCAACCACATTCTCCACTTTGGAGTTGTTTTCTTCAGCAATCATCGTCAATGAAGCCAACAAGATTGCCTTTAGATATTGGAAAATTAAACTGTTGTTCACGTGCCAGCAGTACCAACTGTCAGATTCTGTGTTGGAGAGCCTTTCAAGCTGATTGGGAAGTTGCTTGGACTCAACTAGAAACAGATTGTCTATCATTATCATCAGAAGGAGAGCTGAGAAGATGTTTAGAAGATGCTGATGAACCTTGCGAAATGGGTTGCTCAGGCCTCTCTTATTGCACCAAATTTAACAATCAACCTACAAGTCTTTTTCGATCTTGTTCAAAAATTGCCGATGATTCAGCAAAATGGGAAGCAGATCATTGGGCTAGAGGTGGAATCATCAGAGGACTTGGAGTTCCAGTACGTGCTGATCCTTCATGTCCTGTTGAATCTTTGAAAGCAGCTGCATGTCTTCTACAACTTCGTCCGTGTGAAACACGAGTTCATGAAACTCAGTTATGTCGAGATGATTGCTTAGAATTGATGGTTAATTGTGTTGATTGGACAGCGATTACTCGATCTACTACTGCAGCAAGTCTGTGTTCTAAATTGTCACCACCGCGACCAGACATGCCTTGTATTTCTCTCAAACCATTTTTGACGGACCAGAGTCAACTTGAATTAAATTCATTTATAACTCAAGATAATATTATTACTCCTTGTAAAAATAATCCATGTCCTGATGATCACATGTGTGTTCCTCAACCAAATTCTGATATATATTATCAATGTATACCTTCATGCACACTTGGAGAAATGTCTAGACTAACAGTGCCAATAAACACTTGGGTACAAATTCCTCGAACTGATCAACAGCAGCAAAATTCAGGATGTCATCGAATTTGTCGATGCTCTTTAAATGGATTTGAAAAATGCAAAACTTTAAACTGCTTTAGTCTCAATTCTTGTTGGGTGCAAGATCGTTTTGTAGCGCATAGAACCAATTTTTATTTAGATTGTAATTCATGTCATTGTTTTGAAGGAGAAGTTTCTTGCTCTCGAAAAATTTGTGGTAGGGAAATACGTCAACCTACTTTGCCATGTGATTGTCCAGCGCATTATGTTCCAGTTTGTAGCCGATTTGGAGTTACTTACCCTTCTGCATGTCTTGCAAAATGTGCTGGACTAGGTGTTAACGATATAGTATTTGGACGTTGCTCTTCTATAGATCCATGCCGTCCAAATCCGTGTGGAACTGCTGAAAAATGTTTAAGAAAACCAAGAGTTTGTTTATCTAACATTCATAAACCTTGCAAACAGTACGAATGTATTCCAATGGATTGTGAACATGATAGCAAAATTACTCCAGTGGAACCTGTTTGTGATCGTGATAATAGACAATACAATTCTACATGTGCTTTAGTAAAATCTGGTGCAACGTTAGCGTATAGAGGTCCTTGTTTGAAGGGATGTAGTTTACGAGAACCAGTTTGTGGTGTTAACGGAGAAGTTTATCCAAGTGAATGCTCGGCATGGGCTCATAATACTGTTGTTGATTATAATGGACCTTGCATGGCAGTAGGTTTGATTGGTGATGGAAATATTCCAAGATGTAGTGACACTTTAATCAAGTGTCCAAAACTAAATTTACCCAACTGTATAGGTGTTACACCACCAGGAGCTTGTTGTCCAGTTTGTGGAGGTGCTGCTAGAATTTTCTTCTCAAAGAAACAAGTAAGATTTAACAATGATAAAAAATTAACTAAAATAAATTTACAAAATTAGTAATTAAATCATTTACTGGTTTTTTTCACAGCTCGATAGGATTTACTATATAATGGAAGAAGAAATAGATAAGGATTCTGTGACATTGGAGAGTCTTCTGAAAGGTCTTCAACGTCAAATTCAAGTATTACAGTGCTCAATTCGCGGCCATGTTACTCCTGAAAACGATATTTTCATTATAGTTCAGCCAACAATTAAAAAACCTTCTGCACTGTTATTTCAAGCTTGCATAGCAGAAACAGAAAAAATAATAACAAGAATTATTGAAAGAAGTTCTAAAATCATAGCTGAAGTTCCTTTGGGTTCTTTAACTCGAGCTGAAATAGTACATGGTCATGTTTCTTCTTCAATTTCTTTATGGTATTTTTCCAATTTTACTATTTTAATATTTTTCTCATTTGTTTTCTCGTTTGTTTTCAATCGTTGAAAATTTGACTCTTATTTTTTTATGTTATAAGACTTTTTTTACGTAACAATGGAATTTAATAGATTCCAATGAGTGTTCAACCAAACTGTGATTTTCTAGAGTGCCTTATTTAAATTTAGGATTAAAAAAATAGATTTTAGAGCATTAAAGGATTGTTAAGTTTTTTATATTAATACTACCAAAGAAATATTAAACGAATTTTTATAAAATCAAGATATTTGTATAAACTTTTTATAGATCATTATTTAAAAGTATATATTGATGTAAAAATAGAATAAATAATTTAAATTAAAAATTATTACGTCATTCTTATTAAATTGATGTAAAAGAAGGTGATTTATGCAAAAAATTCTATCTATATTTAAGTTCTATCTTATTTTATTAATGTTATGTCAATTTAAAAAATTAATTTATAATTTATAAAACTTTGTATCGTCCACGTGAAGCAGTATGAGTTCCTGATGATTGAAGTTTGATTAATTCTTCTTTAATTAATCGAGAAACTTCAGCTTTAGCCTTACTAACAGCCAGTTCACTTGTGGATTCAATTGCAAGGTATAATTTTCTTTCTCCTTCAGGAGGATTTTTTCCTGGAGCAATATAAGTACCACGAACTGTTAATCCGGCCTCAGAGTACTCTGATATTTGAGCTAAAGCTTCTTTACTCGTTACACGCCATCGAGCTTGTTGAGGGAAATCATTTATCTCTAATTCTTCTTCATATTTTCTGAATGTTTGTTCTCCTATCTCTCCATCACCCTCAATAAGATCTTCCTCTCTTGGTTGATAATTTAATTTTGTATTAAGTTTAGCTGCCAGCTGCTCCGCAACGGTTTTGGCCTGAACATAACAAATATTTATTACAATTTATCAGTTTGATAATATCATAATACTATCCTAAAAACAGATTAAAAAGTTACTTACCGTGATAAGATTAGTTGGCCCAGCACCTTTGAGAATAGCTTCTGCAGCTTGTTGAGTTGCTCCTTTAGCTTCAGCACCCAAGTTCTTAGCAATATTTATTTTTGAAGCTAATCTTCGAGCTAATTCTAATTTATCAGTAGCACTAGCAGCAGTAGCTGATTGCCCAGGAATATTTAAACTAGCAGCAGCAGTAGGTCTTGCAATTTCTCGTACAGTTCTTTTAGGAGCTAACATACTTTCTATTTGTTGATCAATATCATTTTCAATATCTTCATCATCAGAATCTTGTAATCCAAGCGCTGCTTTTTGAAATTTCTTTTTCTCATTTACTAAAGCAGCTTCCGATTCATCAAATTTAAATCCTTTACCACTAAATCCACCACCAGTGTGTACTTTCTTGCCTTCTCCAGCTAACCGAGCACGATATCGATCCCATAATATTCTCAATGGCTCTGGAACTGGAACACCAGCGAGTTCATGAGCTCTAATAATGTCACCAGCATATCTCTCCTGTTCACGAGTGATAAATGTGTAAGCATATCCTTTATTACCAGCTCTTCCAGTTCTACCACATCGATGAACATAATCTTCATAATGATTAGGGCAATCATAATTTACAACCAGAACTAGTTGTTTAACATCAAGACCGCGTGCTGCTACAGATGTAGCAACAAGAATTTTAGTTCTTCCTGCTTTAAAATCAAGTATCGTTGAGTCTCTATCACATTGATCAATTCCACCGTGAAGTGACATACAAGAATATGAAGCTTTCATTAAATCTTTGAGTAACGTATCAGCATTTTCTTGCTTATCTACGAAAATTATAGCTGATCCTTTTTGTTGATAGTGTCCAAGAATTTCTAAAAGTTTATAAAACTTTTGATCTTCTTCAAGAACTACAACATTTTGTTCGACGTCTTTACACACTATGGAACGACCTCCAACTTGTACTTCTACAGGTCTCGTTAAAATTCTTCTTGCTAAGGCCTCCATTTGTCTGGGAAAGGTTGCTGAAAAAAGCACAGTTTGGCGATCAGGTCTCACATTTTCCATTATTCTCATTACTTGAGGTTCAAAACCCATGTCAAACATTCGATCAGCTTCGTCAAGAACAACATAAGTTACTCGCCGAAGGTTAGTAACTCGTCCACTATTAGCAGCAAGCATGTCAATCATTCTACCAGGTGTACAGACAATTATTTCAGCTCCTCTTTTAAGTTCTGCAATTTGCTCAGAAATTCCAGTTCCCCCATATACACACACATGACTTAGCCCAAGTGATTTTGTAAATTTCTTTGAGTCTCTTCCAATTTGCATACAAAGCTCTCTTGTTGGTGTCATAATTAAAGCAATTGGACCATCTCCATCAGCTAAAGATGGTTGATCTAAAATGTGTCTAAACATGGGAAGCAAAAATGCTAGAGTCTTTCCACTTCCAGTTTTAGCAATTCCTATCAAATCTCTTCCGGACATAATAGCTGGAATGGCTTGACATTGAATAGGTGTTGGTTTTTCATATCCAAGTTTCTTCAAGACATCAAGCTCTTTTTTGGTCACACCACATTGAGCCCAAGACTTTATAGGCTTTGGACATCCTTTACCTTTAACTCTTATTCCTTCTAATTCCTCTTTATATAATTCAACTTCTTCTGATGTCATCTTAGCAATCTCTGGAACTTCAACATAAAATGATTTTCTAAATGTTATATATTCAGTTGTGGCATGATCAACTTTTGCTAATTCTCTCTTCTGTTTATTAGCAATTCCAGCTGCAGTTTCATGAAGATTTTCACCTTCTTCTTCGCTCGAATATTCCAGACCATCTTGATTTTGCTCGATTAATTCTCCTTTCTGCTTTTGATCTTTCTTTTTAGCTACACCAGTTACAATTACAACACCACCACTAGATGCATTTGGTCCAGAGTTACCATTTTTACCCGATTTCGCTTTGTCTAATTTATTAACTTTTCTGACTTCTTCTTGAACTTCAGCCATAAATGCATCTAAAGGATCTATTTCTTCCTCTTCAGTATTATTCTGTTCTTTTTCGTTCGTTTCAGTAGCTTCATTTCCTTCTTTTTCTTCACCCTCTTCACTTTCTTTTTTTACCGTTGGCTGTTGAACTGGAGTCTCTTCATCGCTATCATCTTCTAAAGACCACTTTTTCATTGGGATTTGAAGATTAGCTAAAATAGGTGTTTTACCGTCTTTCTTCGTAGCTTCAAGTTCCTTTTTTTTCCTTTCAGCTCTCCATCTTTCAATTCTTTCTCTCCTTTTTTGCATTTCCAAATCCAATCTTTTTTGCTCTTCTTCTTTATCGAGCTTAGTATGATCGAATGGTAATTGATCTTCAGAATCATCTCTCTCTTTATTCTTTTTTTCTTTAGATCTTGATCTTTTTCTTTCTTTATTTGATTTGGAAGATTTTGAATCTGTTCGTTTTTCTTTGCTGTGACTGCGCCTTCTATCTCTATCCCGATCTCTATCCCTATCAGAGCGGTCTCGTCGATCTCTATCTCTTTCACGATCTCGAGATCGACTTCTTCTATCTCTGTGTCTACTTGATTTTTCTTTATCTCTATCACGATCTTTACTCCTAGATCTTCTTCTCTTTTTTTCTGGAGTTCCTGATTTTGAACGTGATCTAGTACGAGATCGTCGTCTATGATGTCGGTCTCTAAAAGCAAAAAGATATTTTATGTAAATGCATCATTATAACTATTCTCTCTAAAAATAAATTAAGGAAAATCATGGCAAAACAGTCGAATTTTGTGCTTATTGTAAGAATAAAAATTTTCGTAGATTAATTATTATCAGGCAAATTTTTTTAAATAAAAAAGAATGTAGAAATAATAAAAAAAATATTTTAATTCACCGTGCCATCATCAAATCCTAAACGAATTTTATTATATCTACTATAAAAACTTTAACCTCAAAGTAATTGGAAATTAACTTTTTCAAACTAATCTTTGAACTTAAATTAATTGATTAATTCAAAGAAAAGTTTTTGAATGTATTTATACTATTTATATGAATGAATAATCTATATAGAGTATCTTTGTAAACAATATAAAGTGTACTTACTTATCTCGAACCATTTTTATTTCTTAATTTATTATAATACAGTTCCAATATCCATATACATAATAGAAATTTACAATAAGTACGAAACTATTGTTCACTTTTATTTTTTTAATAATTACAATTCAATAAAAATATAATTACACAAATAATATGCGATAAATCAAAGATTTATTTTAAACATATTTTTTTTATTAAAAAAATGTGTATAGTGAGACACAACGAATTAGAGTATATGGATACTCAAGTCTAGTATATTGATTATTGCCAACATTACATAATAATAGCACCAGTTCTACAAAGCACGTTTGTTTCCTCGTATTTTTATTGGACAAACTTTGTAGCGCGAATATTAAACTAACCATTGATAATTGATTTTAGAAAGATCCTATTTATTTGATTGGTTGATTTCACGAATGGTCGCATTAATGCCCTCTACATGATTAGCTTTCAAAGTAAAATTGTAAATAATAAGCTTCCTATAAAATGTATACTTGAATTTTTATTGTTGTTTACATCAATTTCTTTTGATCACGTGCTACATTTAAAATAACAATATTTATGATATTTAAAAAATGAGTGTGAAAAGGAATGTTACCATACAATCATTAGATAATAATACTTTTAATGCAATAAGACAACATTTAAAACAAAAGATTTTGTATCCAGAAGTGAAAGAAAACCAATATGTGAAAGAGCGTCAACACTTGTTAGATTTACTGAAGAGAACTGTTGATAAAGGCGAGAGTAACTCAGCTTTACTTATAGGATGTCGCGGATCTGGTAAAACAACTACAGTAAATCACATTTTGAAGCAGCTTTTACAGTTAAAGAGATTCAAAACAAATGTAATGATCATTCGTCTTAATGGATTAATTCACACAGATGATAGATTAGCTCTGATAGATATTTCTTGCCAAATGAAATTAGAAAATGTTTTTGAAGAAAAAGTCTTTGGTACTTTTGCTGAAAATTTTAATTACTTACTAGAATGTTTAAGAGCTGGAGATAAAACAACTTCAGTGCCATGCATATTTATTATTGAAGAGTTCGATTTATTTTGTAATCATCATAATCAATCACTTATTTACAATCTCTTTGATGTTGCACAATCTGCACAAGCACCTATTTGTGTTTTGGGCATAACTTGTCGTTTTGATGTAATTGAATTATTAGAAAAACGTGTTAAATCAAGATTTTCTCATCGTCAAATTTTTTTTTATTCTGATAACTTACATACATTAGAACATGAGAACAAATCTGAATCCCAAAAAATAGATTTTGATCATCGTATGGATCTTCTCCACGATTTACTTAGTGTTAATAAAAATGATGTTAAAATTATAGAAAAAGACATTAAATTGAAAATAAGTTCTCAAGAACTGGATTTTTGGAATAAAAATATAGATGATATAGTTAAAAATAATGATGTTGTAAAAATTATAAAGATGATGTATCAATTAAATGTGACTGAAAGATTATTTAGAAATTTTCTGTTGGTTCTTGTTTCGGCTTTAGATGTTGATCATCAGAGAATTTCAGTCAATGATTTTCAGCAAAATAGTAAATTATTTTTACGTGATGATAAAGTTTTTATACTTGAAGGACTTTCTATTTTAGAGTTTAGTTTGGTAAGTAAATTAAATTATAAATAATAATGTTTTATTAATAAATAAAGTTACATGAGTAATGCTAATAATACATGATAATTTATGGATTTAATAGATAATTTCAATGAAGCATGAAACTGAAATTTTTGATGGAGAACCATTCACTTTTGAATCAGTTGTCAAACGTTACATTCAATTTGCTAATCGATCATCATCGATACAAACAGTACAGAAGCCAGTTATTATGAAAGCATTTGAACATTTAAAGGTTTTTATATATTCTTTTTTATAAATACATTTTTTCTTTATTATTTTAGAGTAATCTTACCAATTAATATTTTTTAATGGTGATTTTAGAATTTGGAGCTTATAAAAACATGTAGTAATAATTCAAAAACTGAAAAGGAATATCAACATTTTGAACTTCTAGTTCCTCCCAGTCACATCCTTCAAGCTGCCAACAATTATCCGGGGTTACCAACTGACATAGCTCAGTGGGCTACGAGTAGTTTACAATAACAATATTCAAATACTGAAATTATTTTTATAATAAAATACTTGCTTATCTCAGTGAGAAAGTAAAAAATACAACTCTCATTGTAAAATTGAACTTGAATTTGAATTTTATTTTGAGATTATTGCGTTTTTTTGCTCTTTTTTATATATTCGATCAAAATGCTAAAGACAATTGTTTATTTTTCCAAATTCATGACACATAAATAAAAAAATATGTAAGAAAAAAATGTCAACATTACTTTATCATTATGATTTTATATTACATCATGTGATGAAGAAAAGGCTTCAAGATTAATCAACTTCGGCACTAAGTTCAAATCTAGCATCAACACATTCGTTGATTGTATCTAGTTTAATAGTTAAGAATGATGAGTCTCTACGACGTCTTCTCATACTATGTGATCCTGTTTCTAGTGAAGGATCAGTTGCTCCTTCCTCAAAATCTGATGAATCTGTATCTAATGGTTCCTGCATTTGTGGTAATTTATTATCAACGGATGTACTTGCTATAGTCTTAGCAACCTTAAAAATATCATCGAGATCAAGAGATTCTGCTTGTGCCCATATCCATGATCTATTGTTATACGTAGTCTGTTAATTGTAAATAAAATAATTTTAATCACTGATCTCTCATATTTTTTAAATTAAATATATATCTTACAAATCGTTCAAAAGGACAATTGCTGTCTTCGAAACCAAGACCATAACGTAATATTAGTACGGCAATACCTCCAGGACTCACTGGATTAGGGTTGCAAAAGTCTTCAACACCGTTTGTAATTTGTACGCCATTAATTGTATAATTCCAAGCTGTCTAAATATTAAATAACTTATTATAAATACCGAAATTGTTTTATTTATACAAATTAAAATTTTTAAATCATTACCAGGAAAGGAGCTTCGATGTTTACAAATGTTCTAAAATCAAAAGTGTCAGGAACATATTTTTCATTAGAATATTTTGCGCCAACAAATGCAGTATTAGGTCGTGTTCCCGATAGACTATCAAATGATATGTACACATCTATAGCCTTAAATAAATTAATACATTAATATTTGATTGATCAGTTACTAAAGAAAATGAATTTTCTTAATTTAGATAATATAATTTACCTGTACACTAAAAATAACTGATGCTAACAATATTGAAAATTTCATCTTAAATTATTAGAATAAAATTTTATACGTTATTATTTTAAAAAATTGTTCTGCTGTTATTTAATTCATCATTACGTGATGTATATCCAACTTTATTATATACTTTGCGCTTGAACAGTAATTACAGATAGGAAAACAATTAAATTGTTATAAATTAGTACCTATTTTAAAATAACAATGTGACATAGTATAATTTACATTTTTGATAAAAAATGTAAATACTATATACATTTGTAGTTTTATGATAAAAAAATTCTAATTTAGCAATAAAAAATACATTTTTCTCTATTCTATATTAAATTCAATAATTAATTTCATAAATATTTAATCAATCCAAGCGATAGTTGATGAAGTTTTTAAATCTTTTTTAGTTGAATTTTTGTTCAACTTCTTCATATTTTTTGGCGAATTGTTGACAGATTTTTTTTTGTTCATTACATTAATCAGTTTATTTAGTCTTTTATTATTTCGATAAGTTGTCAGATAAGTATCATGACCAGGATTTAAACCGACTGTTGGAGTTGCTTCAAGTATTTTTTGAGCGGTAAATGGGCGTAATGCAGAAATCGCTCTACTTACTCCAATCTAAATTAAAACCACATTATTATTAAATTTACATATAATAGTAACAGTTTGCAATTGAAATAATCCGTAATTGTTAGTAAAAATTAAAACCTTTGTATGTCTAATACGATGCTCCACTAAGTCCGCTCCAATTAATTCTTCACATTCTGACATTCGTAGAGGAATTATTTTATTGACAATCTGTATTATAAAAACTATCTAATTTAGAATCATCTATAAATTTATTGAAAGTTTTAGATAACTAAAATATACCCATAAAAGAATTAGTGAAGAGAAAAACGACCATACAGTTAAACATAAGAGTGTTAAACTTTGAACCCCAAGAAGATACCAACCACCTCCTTTCAAGACTCCACTTCTTCCACTAGTTGTATTTAAAGGATGAGGATTATCCGCAAAAAGACCTATCGCAAGGAGTCCCCACATTCCTGCAAGTCCTAGATAAAAATACATAGTATAATCATCAATGCTTAATTTTGGAATAGCATAGTTTACCATGAGTTGATGTAGCTCCTACTGGATCATCAATTTTTAACTTATTAAACATTGGCATAGTGATACAAGCAATAAATCCACCCAAGCTTCCAATTACAATAGCTTCCCAAGAGTTATAAAGAAAACAGCCTCCAGTAATAGAAACTAATGCTCCTAAAATTCCGTTAATTTGACTCAAAACGTCAATTCCATTTTTATTATAGAAGCTGAAGCCTAATCCAACTATTCCTCCACCCATACTAGCAAATATGGTTGATGTCGCTGCTCTAGCAGCATATTTCCATTTATCTCCAGTAATTCCATAAGTACTTCCGCTGTTAAAAGCCAACCAACCCCACCAAAGTACAAAAAGGCCTAAAATGGCATTGACTGGAGAACCCAAAGGAAGAGACTCTATCCCGTTATCATATCGTCCAAGTCTTGGACCAAGCATTATTGCACAGGCCAATGCAGATATTCCTCCAACTAAATGAACCGTTCCTGATCCTGCTATGTCCACTGCTCCGAAATGATTTAAAAACCCATGATCCCCCCAGACCCATCCTGCTGGAATACAGTAAACTACAGTGTTTAAAAAAGAAAATAAACAATAAGCCTTGAAGTTACACCTGTAAAAAAATGTTTAATAAACAATTTACGATAATTCTACATATTTAAAAATACATTTCTTATTTAATGTAGATAATTGGCGACGATAAGTAAAAACAAGTGACACATAGTAAATAAATTGACAGTAAATTTACCTTTCTGCCATTGCACCACTAACAATTGTAGTTGCAGTGGTAGCAAAGCTCAATTGGAAAAGAAACGCAGCATTAATAGCTCCCATAAGTTCATCATCAACATTTGAATTCAAAAAATATCCACTAGTACCAATAAAAGAATTTGTTGGAGGATCAACACCAAAACTCATACCGAATCCGAATATCCAATAAGTTAATCCACCTAAAGATATATCGACCACGTTTTTCATCATTATATTCACTTCATTTTTCAATGAAACACAACCAGATTCCAACATGCCAAAACCAGTTTGCATAGTAAAAATAATAAAAGCATTTGAAATGATCCAATTACTATCTTCTTTGCTGATTCTAAATAGAGTTATAATGTACTTTTCAGTAGTATTAGTTTCATTATGCCCAAAATTGCTGTTGTCTAGATTAGAATAATTATTCATACTTTCAGGTCAATTTTACTTCTATTTAAATTTTATGTAAATTATATTGGATTAATTGGTACTATCAGTCTGTATATTATTTTAATTTATTTCTTAGAAAAAATAGACTTGATCGTATGGGTAAATTAGATCACACTGCTTTCTAGAATACTTTTTCTTGCAAACATTTGAATAATTAAAATGATCATGTGAAAATACAAAGAGAATATATAATTGTATGTAGATTCTAGAATTTTTTATCGCTAATTAATTTTTAATTAATGAAAAAAAGTACTCAGAATTCATTTATTTTTACTTTTTTATTTTGCATTTACAACAGCATGCCTACCACAGCAAAGCTCTAATTAATGTATTTTTCATCGACTTTTTTACATTATCTTCTTTTCTTTTATTTTTCATTTTTACCAGCAAGTGCTCAGTTAATAATGTCAATAGTAATGATAAAATAACATTGTTAATATCAGTTACATGAATTTGAACCAAAAAAATATCAATTCAAACTGAGAAAATAATTTCAATTATTTATTAACATTTGTTGTTGGTTAATAATTAATACTATTTCAAATTCAACGACTTTTGTTCTTTATGAATACTTATTGGATAATATAAATTATATTTATAAAATAATCTTCGTCCAATGAGTAATGAGTACTCAATATAAAAATAAAACAATTATCATAGAAATTGATAGTACAATTGAGTCATTGTGATGAAAAATAATTTCTATTTAAAAAATTTATAATTTTCTAACAAAATTATTTATATTCTTTTAATTTGAAATTTAATGTAAAATAATCAGAAAATATTGATTATATTATAACAGAAAAGTATTTTAAACCTAATATAATTATTTAATCAACTTTAAAGGTCAGAAAATCATTACAAATTCATCACACACTCGACAGTTTTGTCTAATCAATTTAATTCATGTACATATTTCATCGAACTTATTACACATAGATCCAAGATTAATGGGACAAAAAATAAAAAATTTATAATAATAATTTTTACGTGATCGGTGATTTTTAGCATGACATCAAGAAACAGTACGGATTCTTGCTACTTATTATCCAAATTTATTTTTTGACATTGCCAATGTGATTTTCTGTTAATTTTTTAATTATATTATTAACTTTCTATGTTCTATGAAGATATTCTGACACCAAATAATGTTACTCAATGACCGTAGACATTCTCGTCGCTGTAAGCTATATAAAGGAAGCAATCCTCCTCATGATGCTCCTAAAAAAATTTTTTTTAATAAAAATGTTGATCTATCTTCACTGATTTCTTCTCTATCATCGAATCATTTTATTGAATGATTTTTTATTTTTATTAGATAATTCAATAGAAAAATTACCTGGTAGAGTGATCCCATGGTAGCACTTGTGGGTGGAATAATGTTGTTAACAAAGAAGAAGAGAGCATCCTCAGAACGCAAATGAATGCGTTTACGAATTAGGAAGTAAAACTGACCTACCGTAAGGTCTGATGGAACGAGATATTTTTGCTTGTCAAGGTCACTAATCTTAGCTTTTGGAGCTTTCTCAACGATGACCTATAAACAATCAAATACAAAAATAACTACTCGTCAAATATTTCCAAGTTATTTTAATCAAATTTTATGAGTCAATTACAAGAAAAACTATTTTGTATGAATATTTTTAATCTAATACAATTAATAAATAATTAATAATTGACACTACTGTAACACGATGATGAGATAATTATGTTATTGTAATTCTTGCGAGTATAATTGAAATTAATTACTGATAAGATTACTACAGTTGCTATTCAGTGATTGTGATACTTTCTGATAAATAAATTATGTTCAATAAAATACAACGTTCTATTCTTGTTATAATTAATTGTTTGCCAATAAATAAAGCAATGAAACCTGAAATATGAAGAGCTCATACATTTTTTGGTCTCTAAGGTTATCTGCAGTAAGAAATTTTATAATGGATGAAATTACTCAATCTTTCTTATTCTTGCAGCAATTTTTTCGAAATGTCCATTTTATACAACATAAAATGGTAGAACATTCAGAATAACAAGCATTCACACACACACGCATACTTGTGTATAACTTTAAACGTCATTTATTTGTGTGGTTAAAAAATAGTGACTCATGTTTTGTTAAGCTTTCAAAGTCATCTCTAATGTAGTTTTTTTATAATCATGATCAATTTTGAGGTTATAATGTAATCGATATAATTAAAATTATTTCAACTTACAGGGACTCTATCAGGATATTTTCGTCGAATTTTTTCTCCTTCAGCCTTTCGTTTTTCAAACGGATGTTCTTCTTTATAGTTAAATTGCATGATCGCGTCAAATCGCGACTGGTTGCTATAAGATCTGTGTTGATTTGTTTTCTCTTTTCTTTTTTTTTTGTAAGATTTATCAAAGTTGCAATAATTCAATTCAATATACCACTTATAATGTTTATATTTTGATTATGAAACTGACGATTATGATATAATTTTTCTTATCGAAAAATAAATTAAATAGTTGGCCAGAAACTGTACTTTATGTTCACTAGTTCACTTCAGTACGCACCTACCATCCAATACACTTAAATGCACTAACATCTATGAATACAAAGAACAATCTTTGTGTGAGTTGATTGCTTGTGCCTTTCCGCAGCCTTCTTGACAGTGAATATCGTCGATTTCTACGCTTGCGCTGTTACATACAAAGAGCATGACACATACAATAATACACATATATGTATCTGACCGTAGAACACACGACTGCGCGTTTCCTTTTTAATGCGCATCTAATAAATAAACCCATTTTCATGTGTCATTTCACTGATTTTTCCGTCTATCATTCAATTTTTCATATAAAAAAAATTCTCTCATATATATTTGAACTAAAAATAAATAACTCGAAAACTTAGTATTTTTTTGTTACTTTAAAATCAACTGAAAATAAATTGCAATAAAATATCATTAGTAATTCAATTAATCCTTCTTTGAAAAATTGAAAAAAAAATCTTAACTCTTAATTATAATTACAAATGTTTAAAAAAACTAATTGGTCATTGTAATAAATTTCCAACATTTCCATTTTTACATTGACATTTATTCTTAAATACAAATTAGTACAGGATAAATGTCAATAAAAAAGAAGGGAAGAAAAGAATAAAATTACTCTGCATCTTCTTCATCATCATCTTCCTGGCTTGTAATTTGGAAGTATCGAAGTTCATATGTATCTTTGTCCTTGGAGACAACACGTAACCAGTCACGAAGCTTGTGTTTCTTTAAGTATTTCTTTGTCAAATATTTTAAATACCTATTAAAAAATGGTTTCCAGATTAGTGCAAATATCGGGTTCTGGTGTAGATTTAATTATTCTGAGGCGATCAAGGGTATAAAAAATTTAAAAAATGTTGATAATAATTCTAAGTGTAATTTAATACATCAATGCAATGCTCACCGCTTTGAAAAGTCAATATCACTATTAACTGTGACTTTGTTTTTTGACCTTTCTAAATTTACGTTGTATCCAAAATTACCAGTTTTTCCATTGACTTTAATTCTTTCTTGGAGGTATTTCTCCTACAATCAAAATCATCAAATGAAATGAGTTTTGTTGGAAATGAAACACATACGATAGTTTTTGAATTAAACATACCAAACTAGCTACATCCATAATATTATCTTCAACAGGATGGGTACAGTCAATGGTAAACTTTAAGGATACCTTCTTTTTTTGACTTTTTCCTCGAAGTTGTGCCTTTTTGGCAACAACCTTAACTGGCTTTTTCGCAGGGACTTGCTGAAACAATATGTAAACAATTGATTATTTTGGCACTTGTTAATTTTAAATAGCTATCAAATTAAAAAAACAAGTTTGAAAAAATTAAATATTCATAATAAATATCCTTTATATTGATAAGCAAAAAATTTTCATATTTAAATCAACATTTAATTCAAGAAGTTCCACGTGAATCACAAGATAAACAATTTCACAGCCTAACCACTAAATTTTTCAATCCAATTAATTTGGAACCATCACAATTATATAGATAATTCTTTTTTTACATTATGTTTATAAGAAATTAAAATTTTTAATCACATTAGTATTTTGTGCATTTTCGTGTTTATTATCATAATTTTGTTAATTTTTAAAAACATTATCTTACCGGAGCCATATTTTCAGATGTCAGCAGACAGAAAAGAAAAAGAAGTTCAAAATTTTGAAGGT